AACTAGAACCTGACGATAATGAAATATATCGGCCAGAATATAGGTATCTATCCCATATAATTATACATCCTGAAGGAAAGAATTGAGACACAAAACTAAAATATTGAGTTCGAAATTGACACATATCGGTGGTTATTAATTAGGCATAATCCCCATATAAAGAGAATCCCAAATATTCGCTAATTTCTACACTGTGTAGTCAATATTGGTTCCCTTTAGGCATAGCCTCATAAAACTTTGTAATATAAATTACAATAGTTTGAGGATTTTATAGTCTACCCTGCGTTGTTAGTATCAGTCCACCCTTTGGGGTTTTCAGATTTTAGTAAAAATCCCTATTAATATTGCTGAAATTTGTATTTGGCGTATATAATGGTTTACAAAAATCGGTTTGTAGAATTATCGGATTAGGCCTACGTTTTTGGTATGCTCACTATATTTTCATTGTATACCTGTCAGTATACCTATGGTGGATGGTATCCAAAGTTCGACCCGGCCGAACTTAACGTTTTTTCACTTGTTTGTTTTTTTATTTTTAAATTGAATAAACTATCTATTTATATCTGAAAAAAACTTTTACTACAACATTATTAACCGATAATTTATTAAGTATACAATTTCAGTTGCTTTAGTTTCTAAATCTGAAACGATTTCAACAAAATTTAGCACACATTCAATTCTAGACTCAATTTATTAGGATTTAAAGAAATATAGGGGCCATGGTGTACAATTTACATCAAATCAAACGAAAATATATATGTGAGCTATACCTATCTAGATCTAAACCGATTTCAACGAAACGTAGCACATGTCATTCGACACTCAATTTAGTACCTGTTACATACATATGAAAAAATGGGTTAAGGCTTGCGGATCATTTTGAAATTGGGGTCCTGATTACAATGGTATACTTTTCTTCTTGCGGAAATCGCTATTTCCGGAGAATGTGATTTAAAAGTTCCGTTGGGACCCTTGTATTTTCTCATGATTTTTAAATTTTACCAGGACAATATGGGTATTAAATTAAAGCGTCCGAAGTACTGATTCCACGCAGACTTTTCAAATTAAAATGAGATTCGGTCGCGTAGCCATAGTTACCATCTGTCCATTTTAGAGGCCCATATCTCAAAAAGTATGGTCTTATTTGATAAGAATATTACAATTTTGTAATCAGGGCTTCGAATGGTTTAATTTGACACCCATATTGCCTTAGTGAATATATAATACCTTGTACCACAGTGTGATGAAGGGTATAAAGAAATTTTGTAACTATTGACACGCTTTCCTACATGCACTGCTAAAGTTTCGAACACTACTGTATATGTATGCACGCACTCTATATGGAATAATCAAGAAACTAGACATTCAATCCTCCAGAAACTGTTGCAAAAAATCTCGAAATTTCCATTGAAACGTGGACGCATTATTTGATAAAAATAAAATTTGATTGATTGAAATATAGTACATGTGCATGACCGAACACAAATTTTACAAACAAAATTATCTAAAAAAAATCGGAATTAAAAATAAAACATTTTAAATAATTATATTCTACTTTACCACGCTTTGAATGAGCCCTTTTAAGTCTCTCATTGATGATTTTGACATCTTTTGGTAATCTTCTTTTCATCTTATATTTATTTGTTTTGATTTTATTTCCAAATTTTGTTTTGCATTTTTGCTAAAAACAAAAAAATTATTTGGCCTAATAAATTTGCATAATTTTTCCATGAGTTCCGATCTTGCTTCCATTATCTAATAAGAATAATTTTGGTTTGTCCTCTTTTTGTTTTGTTTTCTTATCTTTTGCTGTCACATTATGTACTTATAAACAAAACAAAAACAACAAGACCAACTATGACAACTTTTTTCTCAAAAGGTTTTTGGCTTCTTTTAGCTTTTTTCTTATCTAAACATAATTTTTTCTTGGTTTAGATGGGGAAGGGGTAGGCAGGCAATCGGGCACAGTAAATCAAAACAAAAACAATAGCAACAACAACATTACTATGAGCAGCGGCTGGTCACCACAAACACACTCACACCACATTGGCACACAAAAAAAAAACAACACAACAAATGATTTGCCCCCACACAACAGCAGCAACAACATGAATGATACGGCCCAGCCGATGTTGTTATTGTTGTTGCTGCTGTTTCAGAGAGTGATTTTTCTTCTTCTTGTATTATTATTATTCTTTTAGATAATTCAATTATATAAGTTAAATATTCTAAAAAATCACATAAATTATGCAAACATACCCTTTAAATTTTTAACAAAAATATTTTAATGAATTTTGTTTGGACTTTGGAGCCAGCCACTCGATTTGTTGATTCCACTTTGTGCGGCGCTGTTGACCCAGAAGACTACACATAAAAAACAACAACACAACTAATTTCACTATTGTTGCACTATTATTATTGTGTTTGTTGAAAACTATAAACAATTTTCCACGCTAGACGGCAGACACCTTCTTCTCTGTTGCCTTGGCTTATTTCTTTTGTAACGAAAACAAAATTTGCATTAATTTTTTTCTTCTTTCGAATTTATTTCACACACACTATTTTTCTATGACCATTAAAATAGATGAGAACGAGAGAATTTGCAAACAAATTTTCTTTTGTGCCTTTTTTTAATTCATTAACAGAAATAAATTTGCTTCTTTTATGGTTTTTTATTTGAACATTCACACACGTCTCAATTGTCGTTGGTTTATTTCCGTTATTGGTTTTCCGGCACCAGTCTTCATCAGATTTCAACGTTTTATTCGGAATATCGAAATGACACTAAGAAAAAATCGCGTAATAATTCTTTATTGGATTCCCAACGAGTGTTTCGTCTCCAATTCTCTTCTCTGCTTTGCCTTCTTGACAAAATGTTGCCATCTCATTTGTGAAGATTTTTTTTAACTCAGTGGCAATGTTGCAAATGAATGAAGGCAAATAGGAATTAATATGAAAATATTTTTTAAATTATATATCATTTATAATATTTAATAGTTAATAAAAATTATTTAATTTTTTTATTTTACCAATATATATTTATAATTTATATTTTATTTATAATTTTGTTTATCGAATATTTTGTTAAAAAGCTTTCATAGATGTTGGGGCTAAAAAACTCTTTTTATGGTTTGTTTTTGTTGTTTTGTTTTTATTCCCTCATTTTTGTCAGAGTTGACATATCGTCAAGCAATAAATACACCGAATGATTCAAGGTAAAATTATTGCCAGGGATGGAAAACAAAATATATATATATATATATATATTTGTTTTATAAAATTATACAAATATTTGGCGTTTCGGCCTACGCCTAATTAATGACCGACATATATCAATTTCGAACCCAATATTTTCGTTTTGTGTCTCAATTCTTTTCTTCAGACGGTATTATTATATGGGGGAGATGCCTAAATGCTTGTCGATATATTTCATTATCGTCAGGTTCGAGTTTTTTTGTCACGATATCCTTAAGCGGTGTACACACTATCATTTTTGACTGTCAGCTTTTTTATCGATTGCTGACTGTCCAACAATCATAAATATTTTTGTGGTTGCCTGATGAATGACAAACATGTGAGGCCACACTATCAAACAAGCAAAATTTGGGCAAGAGTGCCATTCAAAAATGCTAGTGTGTACACCGCATTAAAAAGCGGAATGATTACAAGCGATGACTAAATCCTCTTAGAATTTCATAATTTTTAGGGTAATACTGACGATTTTGAGTAACGACTATCCCCTTTACTATGATAGAATACGCCTATATGGGGACAACCCCTACACACGGAACTAATCAGCTAATGATGTTTCTACACGATATGTATTTTACATATGTGCTGTCACTTTTTTACATATGGAAATCGAACTCGTCATGTGAAACATACGGAAATTTCAATGTGTCAAAACGATATGAAATTACATATGTATTTTTTCCGAATAGGACGCGCTCTATTTTCGTATGTGAAACATAAGGAAATCAGCTGTTTGAATGAAACACATTGTTGGAAGAAAATATTTCAATTGCAATTAAAAAAAAGGATGAAAAGGCAACAATTACAAATTATTATTTTGTTTGTAGGTGTTTAATAAAAAAATGATGTTGATTTAAGAAAAAAATAAAAGTGTTTTTTTGTTTATAGGTTATGTCATATGTAAAATACATATGCCGATTTGAACACAAAAATAAATGTTTTGTGCTAATTTTGACACACATAAGGAATTACATATGGATGAAATAAGTGACAGCACATATGTAGGATCTCGCTAACATATTTCGGCGACTCACAAAATCCACGATCTCGTTTATTTTCCCTCGAAGTCCATTGCTGTTGAATTGGAGAAGTGAGACATTATCATGAGTTGTGACAGAATTGTACGGTATTTGTCTCAATCTCACCAGATTTCGAGTAACGTAGCTCCCATTTGAAAAAAAATTCACGAACATGTATGTGCTGGGTTGACAGCCCTTGGTCGAAGATTGGCTTCTTCGCATCGACCCAGCACGTACCAAAGTATAATTTATTTTATTGAAAAATGTGCCAAAATACCAAATAATGTACCCATCTTAAATTCTCACGATTGGGGTTCCAAAGGACGGTTTATAAAATTGTTAAAATAACCGGGCTTTTAACCAAAATTTTCAAGAAATTTCTAAAATTTTGCTCTCTAGTGTAATTATTTCTTTACACTGTAGACATCAGCTGTCATTCTTGGACGATTAATCGATTGGTCAAAAGTCGACCTACACATCCCTACCCATCACGTTTTCAACAATTTAAAATCAGCTGTCCAACTGCTTGCTGCTGACTGCCTGTCTGTACTTAATTAATTCCATGGGTAAATAAATAGAAGGAGAGGAGACTACATAAAAACAAATAAGAGCTTACAATATCATCCATCAAACGCCAAGTACTTAATTTAGTAACCGTGAAGAAACGTAACAAGAGCATCTTTTGTGATCATCAGCAAATAACTACAAAACAAAATACAGAAAGAAAAAATGTGTGCATCTTTGGAGAATTTAACCAATACAGATAATGAAAATGCCGCAAGCGATGCTAATGGTAATGACACTACAACCACAGCCGCAACAACAACGGCAGCAGCAGCAACAACATTACTTATAGCGTCAACGGAGATGGGTGAGGGAACGGAAAACATCGCGCTAGCCCATGATAATTTGCCGATACCCGCAATAACGTCACAAGAGCAGATACTACGTGAATTTGGGCCAAATTTTAAAATATTGCAATGTAATCCACAAGTACATGAACTTTTGACAATTATTCGGGATAAGTAAGTACCTATATTCTTGTTTTGTTTTTGTTTTGTATTTTAGAAAATTAAATGAATGGGACAACTGGGTTATAAATATTTAGGTTAATTGTCATCAAAACAATCACACACAAACATACACCCACAAGGATAGATAGCCAGATAGTCATCAATAGCGCACAAGTGAACTTGAAGATGTTTCCACGTATGATTTATTGTATAGTTTGAGGTTCGAATTTAAAAAAGGCATATGGATCTTATCTGGTGTGTAATACAAATTTATTGATTTCTATTGAATCAAATACATGGGGAATACATAATGGGGAATGTATGGAATTTGAAGTATAAGTTCTTTAAATTCGGCCGTGCAGAACTTTTTATAACCTCCACCACATGGGGTGCATTCAAAATTCCTTAAGTTGATCTTGACATTTATGAGGGGACTGTGCTGTGGTGTTATGTGATAGTAGATGGTTCATGCTTCAAAAAAATAATGTTCCAAATTGTAGACACTCTAGTTGGGAAATTTAAACGGAACATTTTTAATTTAATTTATTTTTTATGCACTATTTTTTATACCCATTCTCGTGAGCAAATTCGCTTAAAGATGTAGTAATACCGAAAAAGAAGCGGAACTTTTAGGTGGGGTTATATCAAAACTTAGTCCTATAATACCTTTACACCAAATTAAAACCCCATCGCTCAAAAAATGCGGCTAAAGTCTTAAAAAAAACCGAAAATGGGATCGTACCATTCTATGGGAGCTATACCGAACCGTAAACTGACTTTTCTTTGGTAATTTTTGGTAGAAAGGTTTGGCACGCCATAAAAATGTGATAAATCAAATTAAAGCGAATTCAGTTGAAACCCCCAAACTTCCCAAGATACAGAGTGATGGGGCTACCCGGAAACTTAGATCAATATTGAACTTGTTATGTAGGAAGATTTTCTACGCCAATTCGGTTAAAAACCGTAACCAAAAGCCGCAAAATATCCGATAATATAGGTTGCCATTTTATGGGAGCATTACTGCCAAATTTGTTGAATAACGGGCTGTGCCCAAAACCATTCAATTGCCAAAAATTGGGTGGTGCCCTTATATTGGGGCTACTACGAAGCATAAGCCAATTTGATAATTATTTGTTGGGCAGATCTCATGTGAATCAAAAATTCCTAAATACATGTGATTCTTTTAAAAGCGTGCCTAAAATACCCAAAATACAGAATAATGGAGGTGCCGTTATATGGGTGCTATACCAACAACTAGTCTGATATACTCCATTTGCAATACCAGTCATCCTAGGAGTAATATCAATTTCTATCGTGATTTCAAGATTGTTTCAGCCATAATCATAGACGGTATATGGGACATTCCCGGAATCTTCTGAAGAGGAAAATACCCTATAGCCGCTGACACTTCATATTGGTGTTCAATGCCGAGAAAATGCATAATTTGTCCAGTTTAATGGAGGGACGAGGATAAGATAAGATTGCCACAGTTCGCCAGACATCAAAACAATGGCACCGGGTCTGATAAATTACGTAACCACGTGCCTATCATCGTTTCTGTCAACAGGCCACCCGACTTTATTACTTGTGAACGTCGTACTTTTTAGAGACTTTCGCAATCACTGCTTCAGACATCTGCCCATGTGGTAAAATCTTGAATCAGTAGTAATCAAAAGGTCTATAAGAACCATCCGAAGAGCATGTCGTAGTACCCAACAATCTGTCCAAATCACTATAGAGATTGCGGTTGTAGTCTGGTATTATCATAATAGGTCCACCATTTAGAAAAGCCTCCATATAACGCAAAGATCTGTATTGTGGGGTGGGGCTTGGGCACGACTTTTAATCAAATTGGGAGCAATTTAATATTTTGAATTATAATTGAATAGAAAATGTCCTTACCAAAAATTATCAACATTGTCCCTTATTTCCAGGAAGCCCTCATGTAATGATAACCCCCATTATTCGGTAGTTTGGGGCTTTTGTATGCTTTTTTTACAAATTTGTTCTAATATTCCATATTTTTACTTTTCTTCTTTATCCAGAAACACCACACGAAGTGATTTTAAATTTTATGCCGATCGTCTAATACGTCTAGTCATTGAAGAGTCGCTAAATCAATTGCCCTACTCAAATTGTAGCGTTGAAACACCCACCGGTGCCATATACGATGGTTTAAAATATCAATCGGGTAATTGTGGTGTTTCGATTATACGTTCCGGAGAGGCTATGGAACAAGGGTTGCGTGATTGTTGTCGTTCCATACGAATTGGTAAAATTTTAGTTGAATCCGATTCGGATACGCATACAGCACGTGTGGTATATGCACGCTTTCCCGATGATATTGCACGTCGGCAAATATTACTTATGTACCCGATAATGTCAACGGGTAATACGGTACTGCAGGTAAGTTATGCCAAGCATGGAAATATGAATTTTTAATTCACTTGGCCCCTTTCATTATAGGCTGTAAATGTCCTCAAAGAACATGGTGTACCCGAAAGTAGTATCATTCTCTCTAATCTCTTTTGCACTCCATTGGCTGCTAGTTGTGTTGTTCGAACATTTCCACGTTTGAAAATACTCACCTCCGAATTGCATCCCGTGGCACCAAATCATTTTGGTCAGAAATATTTTGGTACTGATTAAAAGCAAAAAACTCAAAAACCAAAACAAAACAAGAAACCCACTAACAGACGTATGACTTCCTCTGTCGGCTGCCGTTCATAGTTATGTGCTCGCCTGTTCGAATAAGCTTTCTGCCAAGTTATAATGTCACAAATATATAAATTATTATTACTATTATTGCAAATCATTAGGTTTAAGAACAACAACAAGAAGAAACTAATTATTATACATTGATTGACTGTTTGGTCTTGTCCTTTTCCCAAGTACTATTATATCCTTTTTAAATGGTATTTTTTTATTGGTTGTTTTCAACACAATTTGTATATACACAAGTTTGTTTATATGAAGATGTACTTCTCTTCTTTTTTCGTACTTTGTTAAATACTTAATATCATTTTAAAACTGGTTTAGTTATTTTTTTTACCAATACAAGACCATAAAAAAGAATAAATAAAAGGAATATTGTAATTTATTGAAGATGATGATTTTTTGAAAGAAAAAAAAGGAATTATGGACAAACCATTATTGGAATAAGGGAATATCAAAAATAGCTAACTCCCTAAGGACATCGCATGTGTTATTTATTCAATTAGTCGTTAGCCGACTTTTGGGTTCTCATTGGATAACACTTTAATATTGACCCATGTTTCCGGGTAGTCCCCATATAACGGTACCCCCAAATATTCGATATATTGGAGACTTTTGACTTATTTTTTAACATAATTGGTTGTAATTTGCAACATTTGGTTATCAAATCTTCCTACAGAAAATTATTGATATTGGTCAACTTTTTACGACTGCCCCCATATAACGTTACGCCTAAATATTCGTTATTATGGAATTTGTTTACACGTTTTTCAACCAATTAGGCTGTAATTTGGTATTTTGGGTTCTCATTGGATAACACATCTACGTACCAAAAATTAGAAACATTGGCCCATGTTTCAGGGTATCCACCATATAACGGTACCCTCAAATATTCGATGTTATGGGAATTTTTGATACGTTTTTTAACCGAACTGGTTGTAATTTGCTACTTTTGGTTCGCATTGGGTATCAAATCTTCCTACCGAAAATGATCAACATGGGTTCATTTTTTGGGGTAGCCCTCATACAAGGGTACCCCCCAATATTGTGTATTTTGGAAGTTTTAGACACGTTTTTCAACAGAAATAGCTGTAAATTCATATTTTACATGCTCGTGTGGTATCAAATCTGCCTACGAAAAATTATCCAAATATGCTCCTTATAGCGATAGCCCCCAATATTCGATATGTTTATGGTTTTGGGAATATGTTTCCATATAATAGGTTGTAATTTGTTATTTTGGGTTGTGGTGTGATAGTAAATCTTCCTACTAAAAATGATCAATATTATTCCATCTTTTCGGGAAGCCTCCATATGACTCTAGACCCAAAGATCGGTATTTTGGGGAGCTTGAACATGTGTTGTAATTTAATACTTTGGTTTATTTTGAGTATAAAATATATCTACCAAAAATTTGTAACATTGGTGCATTTATCGGGGTAGCTCCCATGTAATGGTAACTCTTATTATTCGGCATTTTGGGGGGTTTTTGGCACACTTCTAACCAAATTGGCTCTTATTTGATTTTTCAGGTTCTCATGGGGTCTTAATAAAAATTATCAATATTGGTTCACTTTTAGATAGAGATCGGCATGTGTTTAAATCAAATTATGCGTTAATTTTATATTTTGAATTCTCATTGAGTAGAAAATCTTCCCACCAAAAATTATGAATATTGACCCATATTTCTGGATAGACGCCATATAATTGTGGGGTTTTTCCTTAATGAATTCGCTTTAAATTAATTTTCAAATTCTTTCTTCTGATTTGTCGAATGTGAAAGTAGGGTAACCCTTTCAATCTTAAAGAGTATGTTCAGTGTGAACAATGATATTCATTTAGAACGGGCGGGAAAATAGTATAAAAACAGTAAAAAAACAAACAAACGTACATTCCAATGAATAGATTTTGTTCACGAGTAGTTTATAAATCCTCCCCTTTTTTAAATTGATTTCCTTTATTTATTTAACGGTTGTTATTACCCCCCAATAAAAGGAGATTTAGTTAAAAATAGCCCTATACATCCCTAATTACTGCTTGTTCTTCCTCTCTTTTGTTGTTTTTAATCGAATTCGATTAATCACAAGTCGATCTATAGAGCCCTTATCTAAAACGACGCGACACGACACGTTTGAGTTGATGACGAACAAAAATAAAGCTAGCAGCTAAAAAATGCAAAAATTAATAACAAAATAAATACAATTTAAACATAATAAAATGTGTGAAGCAAACTACGATAACTGAAGAGTGCAGTGCAATCTTAGTGATAAATAAAAAGCTAAAGGAAGTGTGCAAAAAAGAGGTCGAAAAGCGTGCGTCTTTATTTTCATATGTATTTAGTTGGTGTCGTCGTTGTTGTTGCAGTTGTGTGTTATTTGGCTCATATGTATGTTAAAAAATTAAAAAACAAAATTATAAATGAAAATCTCCGAATTTCTAATAGCTTTTTTGGTAATACTTTTATTAACATTTTCTACAAGGTGTAAAAAAATCTTGTCAATCTGTTTGTTGGCAAAATATTTTTGACATATCAAAATACAACAACCGATGTGTGTGTTATTTGGCTTGATGTATAGAACAAGAAATGTACAACAAAAACAGCAACAACAGTACACAGTGAAAACGCGCAAGTGAAGAAAAAGAAAACAGAACAACACAAAGCAGGCGGGCAGCCAGACCGAGCGAGCGAACGAGCACCAAACAAGCAACCAGTCAGCTAGCAATCCAGCCAGCAGAGAGCCAACAAAAATAAAACAAGCCAAACGAACGCGAACCCGTGAAAAAACCTCGGTGTGCGAACGAAGAATTGTCGGTTAATACAGACATCCAACCACAAAAGTTTGTTTTCATTTTTATTTTTTGAAACAACTTTACAAAATTTCCTGGGAAATGGCCAATGTAAGTCAGCTGAATGATTTACGAAGCTATTCCCGCCACTGGCTGGGCGAATTCATTGAACAATACCAGACCGAAGAGTGTCTGTGGCAGCCAAAACATCCGGACTACAGCAACAACACAGTACGCAACAAGGCCTACGATAAATTGGTGGAAAAACTAAAAGAGGTCGAACCGAACCCAGACCGTAACATGGTGGTGCGTAAAATAAACTCACTGCGTTCTGCGTTCCGTCGCGAGTATAGGAAAATGCATTCCAAACAAAACTATGAGACGCGTTTGTGGTATTACGACAAGTTGTCATTCATCGCTGACCAGGGGTTGAAGCGCGCCATCACCTCCATTGGGGGTAGTGGTTCGGATGTTAAGGCGCCAAAACGTTCCCTCACATTGGCCTTCGAGGATGATGATTCCATTGAATTTGAAGATGAACAACACATGGAGGCCGGCAGTGCCCATTCCGCCTCGCAGACAGATTTGCAGCAGGATCCCAATCTAACCACTACCATTACCACCAGTAATGGTGAAGTTGTACCCGTGTCCATTGTCAAGAGTGAAGATCACAAAATGCATCACCACCAGCAGCAGCATGTCCAGCATGAACCGCCACCGTTACACCACCACCAACAGCATCAACAGCAGCAGCAGCAACAACATCATCACCATCATCATCATGCTGCCGCTCAACAGCTGCACGCTCAAACCCAACCGCAACATACAACGGCCGTTAAGGTGCTAGAAATTACATCGCTCGATTCGAATTCTCAACGTGAAATCCAACAGGCCGTCAATTCGTTGGAACAGCAACATCAAATCCAACAACAACTCCAGCAGCAGCAACAACAGCAGGCGAATGGTGCTGCCACAGCACAACTTACGCAACTCCATCAGCAAGTGCCGACCATACAAATTGCGCGCGAACACCTGCAACCATTGTTCGGTTCGGCGACAGCGTACACAACAACAACGACTGGCGGTGGCGGCAGTGGCAACGGTACTGGCCGCAATGAGGATGAGTTTGATGCAATCGGCATAAATGTGGCAAGCAAGTTGCGTGTCATGAATACCCATCAGCGTATCATTGCCGAAAAGCTAATCAGTGATGTGCTGTTCAATGGGCAATTGGATAATTTGAGTGTCAATTCGCATTTGTCACAGTAGGAAATGAAGCCAGGGGGCAGAACAAGAATTGTACAACAACAACAAAGGCATAATATTAATAAACATGAAGAACAGGAGCCAGGACGACAGGAACCGCAGCAGCAGCAACATCCCACATCAACACCCACAACGTCATTGTCCCTTTTGGAATGGTTTAGTCATTATTGTCTAACATCGGGTGTTTGAATTTGGTGGATATTTTTCGCATATTAAATTTTGTAAGGGATTGAGTTGCCAATATGGAATTAAGGTAATGTTAATTTGAAATTTATTTTAAAAAGATTTTATTACACAGGTGGGAAGTTTTGCATGTTGACCAGTAAGGCGTGATTTTTTAAAGAATTTTAAAAGTCCTCAAATAGACCACTAAAAGGCGTGGATTTGTAAAGAATTTTTATAGTCCTCAAATAGACCACTAAAAGGCGTGGATTTGTAAAGAATTTTTATAGTCATCAAATAGACCACTAAAAGGCGTGGATTTGTAAAGAATTTGTATAGTCCTCAAATAGGTCTCCAAGGCATGGATTTTTAAAGAATTTTTATAGTCCTCAAATAGACCACTAAAAGGCGTGGATTAAAAAAAAAATATATAGTCCTCAAATAGACCACTAATGCGTGAATTTTTAAAGAATTTGTATGGTCCTCAAATAGACCTCTAAGACGTGAATTTTTAAAGAATTTGAATGGTCCTCAAATAGACCACTAAGACGTGAATTTTTAAAGAATTTGTATGGTCCTCAAATAGACCACTAAGGCGTGGGTTTTTAAAGAATGTATATAGTACTCAAAGAGACCACTAAGGCGTGAATTTTTAAAGAATTTGTATGGTCCTCAAATAGACCACTAAGGCGTGAATTTTTAAACAATTTGTATGGTCCTCAAATAGACCACTAAGGCGTGAATTTTTAAACAATTTGTATGGTCCTCAAATAGACCACTTAGGCGTGAATTTTTAAACAATTTGTATGGTCCTCAAATAGACCACTAAGGCGTGAATTTTTAAAGAATTAGTATGGCCCTCAAATAGACCACTAAGGCGTGGATTTTTAAAGAATTTTTAAAGGATATTTTAAGGTTTCCATATAGACCAGTATTAGACATTCCATTAGATATTCCAGTAGTTTGATATTCTTGTTTTTTAATAAATATAATCTCACAATTATTACAAAAATAATTAAAATACAAAGTATTATCTTTCTTTCTTTGCAGTTGTAGTTCATATACAATTACTTTATGGCTTCATCGATTGGATCTTCGTCGTACTCATTTGCATCTCTTAATAAATCTCCAACGAATCTTAATTACAAAAAATACTACAAATATCATATACATATATTACAAGTATATAACAATTTTATATACTTGCATACGTAGATGATGTCCCTTTAAAAAAAACATATATAGATGGTAAATTTATTTAAAATTTAAGGCAAGTCTTCACACAAAACAAAAAGAAAAACTGATTTTAAAAATTAAAAATAAAAAAACTTAGATATGTAAGTTATCTATAATATTCTTGTATATAAATATTATAATATCAACATTTTCATATACATAAATGTATGGTTTTTAAAGTAGTTCGTTGTGTTCTAAACGTCATGTCAGTGTCGATATTGAAAACATATATACAAAAAATAGAAATATTTATTACATATTTATGTACTACAACTGATAAAGGAATTTTTTTTAATTAACTGAGATTCTTCATAACAATAATCGTCCGTCTAATTGCAATATTAACATTACCCCAACAATACATAGTGATATAAATAAATACATAACATATATTGTGTTCCACAGACAAAGAAATTTTTGAAAACAATTTCATTTTTGTTTCTCTTTTTCATTTAAGTTGACCATTACACACTCACATTTCTCATGATATTTAGTAACACACACATTTATCTGTGTGTACATACATACATATATACTCTGTACATTTTAATTGTAATTTGTCATACTATTTGTAGTACGTTCAAAAAATATTTTATAAGATAAAATACATATTTGGAAATATAATTCTGAAATATTTCTTAAACGGTATCATATTTACATATATATAAGGTTAGTAATTATGAATGTACATTTAAATTATATATTTAAATAAAAATTAAATATTATTTATGGAACAAAAACTGGAATATTTTTTGATATTTAAATCACTAAGGGGTGGATTTTTAAAGAATATTTTATTGTCTCCATATAGACCACTAAGGCGTGGATTTTTAAAGAATTTTCAAAACCCTCAGATAGACCACTATGGCGTGGATTTTTAAAGAATTTTCAAAACCCTCAGATAGACCACTATGGCGTGGATTTTTAAGAAATTTTTAAGCCCTCATATTGACCACTAAGGCTTGAATTTTAAGAAAGACCTCATGTACACCACTAAGGCGTGGACTTTCAAAGCCCTCATATAGACCAGTAAGGTGTGGATGTCTTAAAAAATGTTTACAAATCCTCGCCTAAGTGGTTTATATGAAGGTTTTAAATGCTTAAATAAGTTTTTATACCCTCCATATGGACCACGAAGAAGTGGAGCATTAAAGTCTGCATTTAATTTTTAATTCGAATCGAATTTACATTTTTTTATGCTAATTCAAACATAAATATTTTATTTACAATGCAATCTAAATACAAAACGAGCTTAAATACTAAATCCATTTTAACGTTCACACAATCATTCCTTTTTGGTGGTAGCCGTCTCTTCGCCATTTATTTTCCTCCAGACAAATTTGGCAAACTGAAAATAAAGCAGGAGAGATTTTTATATTACAATATTGAAAGGATTTTAGAAAACTTGCTTGCACACATAACAAGACATTAAGACATTTTTTAAACAGATGCCAACACCGACAACACGAAATATGGGCTTCTTCGATAAAAAAATTTGCAATCAGCACTTCATCCACTTCAAATGGATATTCATATGGTTCTACATAATTATTTTAAAAAGCATAGGAAGATATAACTATCCTTGCGGAAATTTGCTGGTCCATATCTCGGAATATGTAGATTTCGCATGAAAAATGGGGTTTGGTTGAGATTAGGGGCTCATATCGGTAGGGCTTATCTCCCTGATCACGAAAATATAATGCTTTTATGGGGGAAATCCATACATTTCGAGATATGGACCTCTGAAGTTTCGAAATTCATATGCTTATAACTTATTAACCGATGGATATAACATGGGCATGGTTGCAAAACGGGCACATTAAAATTTCACATCAATAGTTTTATTTAAAAAATTGTCCAGAATAGCCGGTCGGACTACGGACAGGTGAAAAATCAGCTACGTGATTACATTATCTATGGAAAGGTGGAAAATTCGGCTACGCGATCGAAAATTTCTTTTAAATTAACATGTTTTTCAAAATAGCCGCCCATATTACTTTCAGCTGCATTTAGATGACAAAGTTACGATCGCATAAATTACGGAAATTCAGAGGCCCATATATTGGAAAAATTCTTATATATTTTTTTTTGTGATAAGGGAGACATGACCAATATGAAGTAATGAGGTAAATCGGAGATCAGCACCTTAACTCAAATAGAGCCGAAACATGTAGGTACAGCACTATATAACGGGCCTCTTGAGCTGTTTATGGTAAAAAATTCAGAACGATCTGTGATATACACAGTTTTAGAAGTCCATCATTTGGTCATTTCAGAACATAATCGTTGTTATATCCAATTAAGGACTTATTACGAATTTCAATAAAAAATCATTCCCACTTACTGTCACCACTGGTAAATCAATCTGCTCGTGTTCCTGCACCAGAGACCGGTTATTTTGCATTGCATTCCATCCCCAGTGAGCGGCAATAATTGTTGGCACCATCACAATTGTGACCAGATTGCGGGATACAAAACTTGGATTTGGTTTTGGTGGCTGCATTTTGCACTGATTTCAATGTTGTTTTTATTATTTACTTCGTCAAAAGAAAAAATGAATTCCGTCGTCTTTCAAGTGATTACGCGAAAACATATGTTTTTGTTTGGATTGTTGTTGTTGTTTTGCGAGTTTCACATGTGACACTGACAACAGTGGGACGTTAATAAAATATATTTGTAAATAAACACAAAATAAGAGTGCGTTTAGACAGTTACATATAAATCGCCTGAATTTGTATTTTTTTAAATGTATTATATTAAATAAAATGTTTATTTAATATAAAAAATTTACTATTAGACAATTATTTTAAATATTATTGGTACTTTTTTGAGAAATGGTTCATATTTTGGTGTAAAACAGTGTTGTATTTGAAATTATCTCCAATGAGCATAGAATTTCGAGCAAATCGAGACAATAATTGGATTTCATTTTAAGGGTTATCCATTTCGATGTTTTAAAAGTGAACGTAAACTATATGATATAACATTTTGTACCCACCATAAGATAGAGTGTATATTAAATTGGTCATTCCGTTTGCAACACATTAAATATTCAAATTATTTTCACACTGCGCCAAATCCTGAAAAAAAGAAAAATACATTAACTCATTCCACCTATTGGCCGACTATAAAGCCGAATTTAAAGGCATGTCTTTATTCGGCATTCTTGCAAAATTAATGCGGCTATGCAGGATAACTTTAACTGGTACAGGGTCAGCAGTTGAAGTCGAAAAGGACCTCTCGGAGCCCTTCAATACCGAACGAGGATTTAGACAAGGTGACAGTTTATCGGGTGACCTTTTCAACATCCTGCTGGAAAAGGTCATACAAGATGCAAAAGTGAACAGAAATAACAGCATACATATGTTACTCGCCTACGCCGATGACATCGACATAATGTGTCGTACATTGCGATAGGTAACAGACACCTTTAGGTGTCTGCCAAAGTGGGACTGTCAGTGTATGGCGACTAGGCCAAGCTGATGGTATATACGCACAAGATGTCCAGTAGACTCATACCAACTGTGGAACTTGAAGTAGTCAACGATTTTATATACCTCGCTACTGCTATAAACAGAACTAATGAGATCAGTTTTGAAATTCGGAGAAGGGTAGTCTCGGCGAAAAGATGCTACTATGATCTGAGTAAGCAATTTAAGAACAAGACCACCTCTCGCAAAATTAAACTCACACTCTACAACACGCTGATAGCCGTGCTGGTGTATGGACCTGAAGCATGGGTACATGCACAAGCAGATGAGGCATCTCTTGAAGTGCTTGAGAGAAAAATCGTTTTTTTGTTCTATGGAATAAATGTTCTGTCTCGGGCCAGCTAAGTAAGCAAGGCTATATATTCTTGATCAGAACAAACTTTAATACCGATTTTTGCGTGGCCGTCTGTCTGTTAAAATCACTGCAGATTGCAATATTTAAGATTGAGCTTTGACATTTTGCTTATATCAGTCGGTATTTAGGGATTTCTGACACGTTTTTTGACCGAATTGGCAGTAATTTGGTATGTTTGATTATCAATGGGTATCGAATCATCCTACCGAAAATGATCAATATTGGTACATTTTTTAGGTTAGTCCCCATATAACGGTACCCTCCATTATTCGGTATTTTGGACGTTTTAGACACGTTTTCAAAAAAATCAACTGTAAATTTATAATGTCAATATCGTCATTCAAGTCTCAATTTAATACGTTGTGCAAAATGTCGTGTTAATTGGACAAACATTTGGAGTTGGTGCACCATTTATGTAAAATCGGACGAAAATATATATGGGAGCTATATCTAAATCTGAACGGATCTTCATGAAACTTAGCACACATCATTCTAGACTCAATTCAGTACGATATGTCAAATTACGGACAGATCGAAAGATAAGTATGGAATTTGGTGAACCATTTGTCTTAAATCGGACGAAAATGTATATGGGAGTTATATTTTAATCTGAACAGATTTTCACGAAACTTAGCACACATCATTCTAGACTCGATTCAGTACGCTATGCCAAATTTCGTGCAAATCGAAGAATATATAGGGTCTTTGTTGCACCATTTACATTAAATCGGACGTAAATATATATAGGAGCTATATATAAACCTGAACCGATTTTCACAAAATTTAGCACACATCATTCTAGGCTTAATTGAGTACGCTGTGCCAAATTTCGTGCAAATCGGAAGTTATTTAGGGACTTTGGCACACCATTTACCTTAAATCGGACGAAATTATATGGGAGCTATATCTGAACCTATTTTTCCCAATTTCAACAGGGTTCGTCCTTGGGATGAGATGTGCCAAATTTCATCCAATTCGAATAATAAATGCGACCTTTACTTTGTTTACAATTTAACATGGACAGACAGAACGGACATGCATGAATCGATTTAGAAAGTGATTCTATGTATATTCTCAAAAGGAACTATGTGTCTATTCCTTTTGCCTGTTACAAACATATGCACAAAGACACAATACCCTGTAGCACAGTGTGGTGAAGGGTATACAAATCCATGCCTAATTTTAGGCCTTACATAAATATTTGTAAATTTTGTAAATTTATAAAATAACTAATAAATCGATCTTCAATTATCAAAATTTTATTGAGTTCCTTTAAAATCATTTTCTTAAATCAATTCTTTGGATATTTTTTTAATTTACTATAATAAATTGTGTTTCCTTTGGGCTCCTTAAATCTCACGTTGTATTTTTTGTTTTATCAGTTGTACTTCATGTTTTATAACATGGGGACTGAAAAAATAAAAAAAATAAAATTTATCAAAATAAGACCCTATAAAAATACCAGAGATTACTTACTAATCATTGGTAACACCACAGGTTATGGCAAATGTCAATGGGCTGCAATATTCCGGCCGAAGGCAAACATTATGGACCATATTTGCCAAGCCAAAGGGAAATAGAATTCTGGCAAATGGTATCCGCAATAAAAATTTCAATATTTTATTTTCGGTATCGAAATTTTCTATTTTGATAATATTCCATAGGGTATAGATGGCCTGTATCACAGCATAACTGAAGATATTCGATTGCGGATATAAATTGTAGCAGAATCCGGATAAGAAGGCCGATATAATGTGATTTAGATTTTTCATATGCGGATATTTGCGATTTAAATAGCAATGTGTAAACTGTAATGGAGGGGGAAAAAGTTTAGATTATATGAATTATACAAAATATTGTGCATTCCGACTCACCCTATATATCCCAATATAGGCTGTTAGCAGAGCCATTGATCGTATGCGGAAATTTTTAATTTTAGCCAAAAATTTCGACTGGTCCTTAGCTACATTAACTCTGCTCATCAATGCCTTGATAATATCCAATGTAAAACCTAGTAGGAAATAATTCCTCATACCATGTACCAGATGATGTTGGCAACTCATCTTCGGATGTAGCTGACATTTAGAGTGCTCTGAATTTTCAACTTCTGGAACCTTGGGATTTGGTTCTAGAAACCAAAATCCCTTGAGATTATATAAATATTTGCCCTGCAGTATTAGGGCGCTGCAAATCATAAATATATAGGTTTGTAGATACTTCGAATCGGCAATTAGGCGGCTCACGAAGTTGCGGCGCCTCAGGAGGAATGTTTCGATGTTCTGAAAAAATAAGCACGATTTTAATAAATATTTTTTTCAGGGACTATATGAGGCGAGGATTTTTTAAAGAATATTTTTTCAGGGACTAGCAAAGGAGTGGATTTTTTAAAGAATATTTTTTCAGGGACTAGCAAAGGAGTGGATTTTTTAAAGAATATTTTTTCAAGGACTAGCAAAGCCGTGGATTTTTTAAAGAATATTTTAGGGTCAGGGTTAAATATACTTACACACTGAAATATACTAGTTTCGAAAAGTGTTCTCGTTTTATTCGAGGCCAAATTATATAGACATCCACCAATAACAGTCGGACAATAGAACGATGAATAGTATCCGAAATGACCTAATAGATACCTAGAATTGAAAATAATTTAAAATATGTAAAATTATTTCGAAATTACAAATTGTTTTTATTTACCTTAAGGTACAAATTAAAACATCAACACTATAACCGACACCACCACCGATCACTGCGCATTCTGCATAGTATTTCAAGGTTTGACGTAGCTTTGCTTTATTTATGCTACGAAAGTGTATAAGCATCGGTAGCTATCCGATTTGAGGGGAAAGAATGAAAAACAAATCAATTACTTTCGATTAGCATTAAATATCAACCTTGAACCTAAGGCTTTTAATTTTTTTTTGAGATCTTACCAAACAAATAGGTGCAAAATATTTGAAATTCGATAATAAATATAGCGGAATATCCTTAAGGCAATGATTGAGACATGACTCCTGATGTATTCCCAAGGTTTGACAAGTTTTCGGCCCGATTTGCTCTGCAAATAATTTACTAAATGCTGCCATAACTTCTAAGGGTTGGAATGAGGAGGGCGATATCCGATTTATCTTAACACTTCAAAGGTAGCTGTCAAACTGATCGAGTGTTTAAGTTCTGTAATTGTACTTCCAAAGTACGCTGAGCTTTAAATTGTATTAATTAGCAGAGACAGAGAAATGAATATTAAATGAAGAAAAGAGAATTGAAAACAAGTTCCATTCTCAAAAACCATTATTTTAGGTTCAACAGACTATGATTTGAAATGCCAAGTAGAAAAATTTAACACACATCTTTCTAGACTTAATTCAGTACGCAATGCCAAATTTCGTGCAAACCGAACGATATATAGGTTTGTCTTTACATAAAATATATATTATATCTAACCATTTTTACGAAATTTAACATACATCTTTCTAGAAATTTAGTACGCTAAAATTTCGTGCAAATCGAAGGATATATAGGGACTTTGGTGCACCATTTACCTTATAAAAATATATATGGCAGCTATATCTAAATCTGAGCGAATATATATATATATATATATATATATATATAGGGACTTTGGTGCACCATTTACCTAAAATCGGACGAAAATATATATGGGAGCTATATCTAAATCTGAACCGATTTTTACGAAATTTGACACACATCTTTCTAGACTTAATTCAGTACGCAATGCCAAATTTCGTGCAAACCGAACGATATATAGGGACTTTGGTGCCCCATTTACATAAAATCGGCAGAAAATATATATGGCAGCTATATCTAAATCTGAGCCGATTTTTACGAAATTTAACATACATCTTTCTAGACTTAATTTAGTACGCTACGCCAAATTTCGTGCAAATCGAAGGATATATAGGGACTTTGGTGCACCATTTACCTAAAATCGGACGAAAATATATATGGCAGCTATATCTAAATCTGAACCGATTTTTACGAAATTTAACACAAATCTTTCTAGACTTAATTCAGTACGCAATGCCAAATTTCGTGCAAACCGAAGGATATATAGGGACTTTGGTGCACCATTTACCTTAAATCGGACGAAAATATATATGGCAGCTATATCTAAATCTGAGCCGATTTTTACGAAATTTAACATACAACTTTCTAGACTTAATTCAGTACGCAATGCCAAATTTCATGCAAATCAAAGGGTATATAGGGACTTTGGTGCACCATTTACCTAAAATCGGACGAAAATATATATGGGAGCTATATCTAAATCTGAACCGATTTTTACGAAAAGTGACACACATCTTTCTAGACTTATTTCATTACTCTACGCCAAATTTCGTGCAAATCGAAAGATATATTGGGGCTTTGGTGCACCATTTACCTAAAATGGGACGAAAATATATATGGGAGTTATATCTAAATCTGAACCGATTTTTTTCAATTTCAATAAGGTTCGTCCTTGGGCCAAATAAATGAGCTGTGCCAAATTTCATCCAATTCGGATAATAAATGCGACCTGTACTTTGTTTACAACATGGACAGACGGAACCATGTGTCTATCTCGTTTCCTTGTATCCTGTACCACAGAAGGGTATAAAAATCCAAGCCTATGTTGGTTTGAAAAAAATAGTATTTGAAAAATCCAAGTTAAATTTTTTGAATTATTTTTTTTATTTGAAATTAGTTTCTTCGGAGACCACAGTGTGGTGAAGGGTATAAAAATCCAAGCCTATGTTGGTTTGAAAAAAATAGTATTTGAAAAATCCAAGTTAAATTTTTTGAATTATTTTTTTTATTTGAAATTAGTTTCTTCGGAGACCTGTTTGTTGTTGTAAATTTCTGAAGATACGTTGCATACGATATGGGCTGAAAGGAAAGCAATATACAAATTTTATTTCAAATAACAATAATATGTTGAAATTTTACTTACTAATTATTACTTATACCATTAGCCACCGCGGATCCCAAACCACTAGCATATTTTGGTTTATAAACACTCATGTGCACACTATGGGCCATGGCAAGGGGGAAAATTAGCTGTCCGTATGGCAGTTTTAGTAAATATTTCAAATATTTATTATCACATTTCGCATTCTCAATTTTCAAAATATTCCATACGGTACGAACGGAATGCATTAGAGCATAATGGAGAAGGGATGCTTGAGGATATAAAATATAACTAAGACCAGCTAATAAGGCGGCGGAACAATGATTTAATAAATCATTGCTTGCAGCGTAGTGGTTGAGAAGGCAATGGGTAAGCTGTAGAAATGAGAACAAATACATTACAAAATTTTTGAAAAGCCATAATAATATTTAGGTTACTTACCCTATATATTCCCACATATCCGGGGAAGAGCAATATTGTTGCCACACGAAAATGTTTTAACTTATTTACGATTGCCAATTGACCCTTAGGCACAGGCATTTTATTAAATAGTGTCTTGATGAGATCAAGAGCCAATCCTAATATGAAATATTTTTGCAAACCCTCCAATAGATGTCGTTGACAGCTTTTCTTGGGATGCAAGTGGCATTTGTTATTTTCATCATTATTTTCCATTTCAAGTAATTTTCGATTTGGCTCCAGTAGCCAAAATCCCTTGAGATTGTATAAATATTTTCCCTGTAGTATTATGGCACTACAAAGCATGAAGATGTAGCATTGTAGATATTTGGAATCTTGAATGGCTCGGCTGAGAAAATTTCTACGCATTCGAAAGAATATTTCAATGTTCTGAAAAATTTAAAATAGAAAATAATATTAGAAATTAACAATTAAAAGATAAAAAGTCAAATAAAAATCCACCAAAATTAACATATCACAGATGAACAATAAAAACAACAATAATATCCATGTAATATTAGGTTACATCTAAAACTGAACCTGGTATACGAATGTCCGAAAAACACCTGATTTGCTCGAAATTTATCATTAGTTTCGACATTAATCTCTTATCAGTTTAAGATCGATGATTAATTCCTAAAGCTTCTCGACATAGAAATTATTTAATCATAGAAATTTATTAACAATATAGACTCTATATTGCCCTTTGATGCTGGACTGTCCTCCTCTTTGGAAAATATGGTTTTTAATATTGTTTTTATATATAGATGACTTAGCCTGTGCTAGTTGATAGGGCATGTATCGTTGCCTAGAAACAATGTATCCTTGAATTGTATGCAGTGGTTGGGCTCCTTGCTTATTTAGTATTGGCATTTTCCTCTGGGTGGCTCTATTTTGTTATCCTCATGTGTTGATGTATAGATTGATTTTTTAAATATCATGGGGGGTGTATTCAAGTAAAAAACACTTCAATCATACTTCATTAGTACACCAGTTCTGCTATCATTGTTTTTATTCCAGCTAAGTAGATGATTGGCCAGTCTACTGTAGTCTGTCCTAGTTGATAGGGCTGTCATCTATCGTTGCCTAGAAACAAAGTCTCCATAAGTTATATGTAGTGGTTGGGGTCCTTGCTCATTTAGTGTTGGCATTTTCCTGTGGGTGGCGCTTTATCCTGCCATTTCAGTTTTTTGTTATCCTCACATGTTGGTGTATAGTTTGATTTTTTTACCAATATTAGAAAACCACTTTCATTATACTTGATCATCAGTTTCGCTGTCATTGTTTTTACTTCTAAATAGATGATTGGTCTACTGTAGCCTGTCCTAGTTCTTGGGGCTGCCATCTATCGTTGTCTAGAAATAACGTCTCCATAAATTGTATGTAGCGGTTGGGGTCCTTGCTCATTTAGTGTTGCCATTTTCCTCTGGGTGGCGTCGTTCATATTTATATATATATATTTTTTTTGTTATCCTCATGTGTTAATATTCGTGCTGAGGTTAATTATTATCTCAAGAATAATTGAGCCGTTAATGGCTTCGGACGCCACCTGTTGATATAAATATTTCATGGCGTTCGCTATCGACGCTGGAATATATAACGCGGTCTTCGCTCTTAGCTTGTTGAGATTCTATCATTAAGTCGCATTATACCTTGGTTATCTCAAACAGTTCTTTCGTTGGCTTTATCTATATGTCTGTGGTAAGAAGATTCGTTCGTTCGGATGGACAATGGAATAAGAAAAGAAAAATGTGTGTCCGAGGGCTTTGCTGGCAGGAAGGACATATATTTAAGATTCCGGGAACTATATACTCTCGATAAGAATTAAGAACATTATCATAGATTGTCTAGGAAGAAGCTTCTCGCAGTCTGAAATTGCAGGATTATGATAGTTTTAGGTTTTTATTGTAATTGTATGACTTAGGAGGCCTCCATTGTTGAATAGATCGAAATGATGTCTTAGACGCCTTCGCGATTCACATAAAGTCCTGACGTATGTGTCGCGGAAGTGTTTGGCCTCTTCATGACAGGTAGGCGACATTTGTCATCTAATCACAAACCGTTGCAATTTGGAGGGCATTATTTTTTACGTTTGGATCTCCACTATTTGTTAAGGATGAAGCCTACGGGGCCTAACGAACGCGTCCAACCAGGTTGCGGATAGTAGGAAGCCCAATGCTATTCTTTGGGTAGCTATGAATACCAAATATAGTCTTGGAGGAATTGACCGAGTTCCTATGGTCCCAGGACTGACGAGGCGAGAATGGCGCCTTATAATTATTAAGTTCAAAGATCTTAGGTCACTAACTTCCACAGCGACCTCCCTAAAGTGGGTGTCAAGCAACCTCGTGCCCATTAATGTTCTACGGCTTGCAGTCTGGGTTCCGAGGGTATTAGAACCGAGCCTTGTTGATACTTGGGCGCCTCAAGAAGTATTTCAAGTTTGCCATGGTACGAAGCTATGCCATGTCCGACTTCAAATCCTCACTAAATCCTTATTCTATGGAGCCGAATTTTAAACAGACGTCCTGCATACTACTATTATTAGCAGTACGATATCTCCTAGCTATCTTGGTGACTCTTCCAAATCAAGGTGAGTCCTCTCAGACACTGAGTAGGAGGATCCAAGCTCCATCTTCACAGCCTGTAGTGAAGTCTCGAGATATTGGGGTCGATGAGCTCCCCATCGTAAGGAGAGATGAATCATCGGAACGGGGAACCACTAAACAGTCATTCAGTTTTGCTTGAATGATTTGATCCGGTATATAGGAGTTTTCTATTTTCAGATGTTGCATGATGGTATGTTTGGGTGGGATTACGGGGAATAATCTGCACTACAGATTGAAAAGCATATGTATCGTGTTAGTCTGAGATAGGTTAAGTCATATTGTCATACTTAGTTCTTAAGCTACAATTTTTATATTAATTATCCGTGCTGGAAAAGATCTCTCTGTTCATCACTGGTCTAGGTTTATTTCTTCAGGATTCCTAGTCCTCTGCGTTAAAAGTGTTCTTCTTGAATTCAACTAATAAAAATAATTGTCCCAAGTATTTTTTTACTTAATCATTGATCTACTTTAAATATACGGTTCACTTGTGATAAAAAAATATCTGAGAAACAAATATTACTCTTAAAGAAGTTCCTAATAGGTTTACTTACACTTTGTATAAAAGCGCTTATCGATAATTCTTGAGCTCGTCCTGATGAAAGGTGTATTATGAAGCCAGCTAATAGTGATGGCATATATACAAAACTATATAGACCAAATCGTCCGCGTAGATTTCTGTAATTGAAAATGGTTTGGAAATCGATATTGTATATTCAAAGAAAACTTTAGGTACTTACCGTATTAGGCAAATTAAAATATTTATGGCAAATCCAATGGAACCACCCGTTAAACAACAATGTAAATAATATTTAAGGCACTTGCGGAATTTTTTCTTATCCAAGGAAGACAAGTTTATGAGAAGTGATACCTTTTATGAAAATTTTACGAAATTAAATAATTTTTAGAAATAAATATTTTTTTTTTTTTTAATCCGAACTATTGATTAGGAAAGCCGAAATACGATCTTCAATTTTCATCTTTGTATTATAAAAAAAAAACATTTAATTTAAGAAATTGTTCAATGACTACCTTGGTATTACTTTAATCTAGGCCATTCCTTGATACTCACAAAACATATTGGAAAAAAATATTTCATAGTTGATCCGATATAAAGTGGCAAATCTTTAAGGCAATGTATGAAACAGCCTCGGGAATGCAATGACAGACTTTGACAGGTTTTTGTTTCAACATGATCTTTGAAAAATTTACTAAACGATGTCATTTTCGACGTGTGCCGATATTGAAGTTTTTTTTCTATTCCAAATGGTTCTAAGGTTTTTTACACACTGCTGTCGAAATCCGGAAGAACTTTTAACACCAAGTATTTCAAATGAATATTTAAGCAACAAATTATTTTGTAAAACTTAAAAAAAAAACATTGCGTACAGTATGACGTATGTGACTTTAAAATTCCCTACATGAAATGAATGGAATGGTTCAGATCAAAAATCGTAATGCGGGTTTAATTTGTTTTTATGTGGAATGAAAGAGAACGATCACTTATCGTTAGAATTTCACAAACTATGATATGTAGGATATGTTCGTCGGCCGCCTCAGCAATGATATTTAACCCAAATTCCAACCGGATTTGAAGTGATCATTTAAACCCCATACAAAATCTATGAAAGCTTTTAAAATGACATGGAATTTTCAAGACGTTATAATGATCGATCAACTGAATAGGGGGCATACAACTGTGTAGGGTATACAATTGTGATTTGACTATAATTTAAATTTGACAAAGTAATATACAAAACACTTCGGTTCTCGATTAGGCCACGCGACTTATTACGGACTCTCTCTCTTTCTCTCAACATTTGCTTTGCTATGCGAGTATGAATATATCCGTACTGACTTAAATAGATAAACGTCACTTTATACTCATTTCCGTTAGGAAACACTATTGAAGCCATTAAAAAAATGTAATCTCCTATATTCTAAAAACGCTGGATAATAGGGGAGATTCGCGGCATGAAGAAAGAATACAAAAAAATGACAATAACAGCCAAACAAAATTACTGGAAACCAGTGAGCGGAGCAGTATAGTCGGACGTGACTGACCATATGATACCCTATACAACTACTACGAAAATGTAACTTTCTGCGGTTCTTTATTCTGAGCCTGGGCAATATTTGCACCCTCATTACTGATTATAGGTCAGCAGCTCCACTTTCTAATCAATTCAGAGGGTTTTCGATTCATCGCACCCTCTAAATATCATCTCAACATCACCGAAAATTATTGGTGTTGTCCTAGACCATACACAATATAATTGGTATCTTTTGAAAGGTCAACCACACCTCTTGTATAGATTATCAACTTCTCGGGTCTATGTCCTTCAGGAGTAAATATATACGGCCGGAATACAAATTTTCTCATATTTCACACAAAAGTCTTGGTCAGATTGAACGGCTACATATCGACAAATTTTATTATTTGGCCAGATTCCTTTCCTGGTGTAAAATTTAGTGTTGTTCGGGTAATAATTGTTGCCTGTAGAGCGACCACTTGGGTACCAAAACCCACCACCAAGCGAAAAACGCTGCAGACAGTAGAAACACGTAATGCGATGGAAAATTATCGGGAGAAAAGTATAGAGGAAAATTGTATTTTCAGATGACGGTATAGAGTGTATACCACCTAGCCAAGGTGAGGTCAGAGTAGCAATTAATCGCCTGAAGTACAATAAAGCAGCAGGTACCGAAGGATTACCTGCCGAACTATTCAAGACCGGTGGTCTGATGCTGGTAAGGAACATGATTCAGCTCATTTTTACAATTTGGCTAAAGGAATACATGTCCAATGATTGGAACCTCAGCATCCTGTGTCCCGTGAACAAAAAAAGAGTCAAGACGACATGTGCCAACTACAGAGGAATAAGCATCCTTCCCATTATAAAAGTGCTATCCAGTGTGCTGTGTGAACGATTGAAGCCAATGGTGCAAGACATTATAGGAAATGACCTCTCGGAGCCCTTCAGTACCGAACGAGGATTTACACAAGATGATAGTTTGTCGTGTGACCTGTTTAACATCCTGCTGGAAAAGGTCATACGAGATGCAGAGGTGAACATAAATGGTAATATGTACACCAAACACCATATTTTACTCGCCTACGCCGACTACATCGACATAATGGGCCACCTTTGAACGAATTGAGAGGGAGTCTGCCAAAGTAGGACTGGCAGTAAATGGGGAAAAGCTTATGGTATCAAAGTGCAAGACGTCCAGTAGACTCGGACCAACTGTGGAACTTGAAAACTACAGCTTCGAGGTAGTGAACGATTTTGTATACCTCGGTACCGCCATAGACAAAACTAATAACATCAGCTTTGAAATTCGGAGGAGAATAGTGTTGGTCAACATATGCTACTATGTCAGAGTAAGCAACTCAAAAGCAAGGCCACCACCACGCTGATATTACCCATGCTGTTACATGGATCTGAAGCACTTACACATGCAGATGAGGCAGCTCTTGGAGCGTTTGAGAGAAAAATTCTCCGGAAGATCTATGGACCGATTTGAGTCGCTGGTGAATATCGCCGTCGAATGAACCATGAGCTGTACCAGCAATTCTCGGACATCGGTATGTTAGACGTATTGACCTGCAGCGACTACGTTGGCTAGGCCATCTTGTGAGAATGGATGAAAATGCCTCATATCAAAAGGCATATAAAAGCGAGACAAGTGATGATTGACGCAGAAGGGAAAGGCCACGAATCCGATGGAATGATCAAGTAGAAGACAACATCTCGGAAAATGGTTTTTCAAATTGGATGAAATGCGCACAAGACCTACGCATCTAGAAATTTTTTTTAAGCTCGGCTTATAGAACAACCGTTCTGTCATAAGCCAGCTAAGTATGTTAAATAAGTAATATTAATAATAGTCTTAGTTCAGATTATAATTTATTTATGTATAAAAAATAAAATAATATTATGGTCCAATATTAAAAAAATACAAATGAAAACAAAAATAAAAACGTAACATTTAATCAACTTCTTCAACGGTTGGGCCACCACGACCACCCTGGGCATTTTGACCAGCACCGCCGGCTGCAGCACCACCACCGCCATGCATTTTTGTCATAATGGGGCCGCAAACACGTTGGCAGTCCTTCAAGTGATCCTCAAATTCTTCCTTTTCAGCCAAGGTGTTATTATCCAGCCAGGACATTTCCGATGAGCATTTGTCACGAACAGTGGCCTTGTCGGCTTCGGTTAATTTGTCAGCAGGGGCTTCTTCAACGGCCTGAAATCGCAGTAAAAATATTTTAAATTTGTTGATATATACACAATTTTGATTTAATCTAAACAAACAGAACCTGGGGAGACTATAATACCATGACTCCTTTCCAAATTTTAAATAGTTTTGAACACCTACCTGTTTGCAACTGAAAATATACGATTCCAAGTTGTTGCGTGCCTGTACCCTTTGCCGTTGCTTTTCATCTTCATCCTTGTATTTCTCAGCCTCGGACAACATACGATCAATATCGGCCTTCGATAAACGACCCTTGTCATTGGTAATGGTAATCTTTTCCGATTTACCGGTGCTATTATCCTTTGCCGATACATTCAAGATACCATCGGCGTTCAAATCAAAGGTGACCTCAATTTTGGGCACACCTCTTGGAGCTGGTGGAATACCGGTTAAATTGAAAGTACCCAAGAGGTTGTTATCCTTGGTCATGGCACGTTCACCCTCATACACCTGAATGGTAACGGCATTTTGATTGTCACTGTAAGTGGTGAAGGTCTGTTGCTGTTTGCATGGAATGCGGGCGTTGCGTTCAATCAATTTGGTCATAACACCTCCGGCAGTTTCAATACCCAACGATAAGGGAGTAACATCGACCAGCAGGACATCTTGAATCTGAGAGCTACCAACCCCAGTCAGAATGGCAGCTTGAACAGCAGCACCATAGGCCACAGCTTCATCGGGATTGATGGATAAATTCAATTGTTTGCCACCAAAGAAGTCCTGCAACATTTTTTGAATTTTGGGAATGCGAGTGGAGCCGCCGACCAAAACCACATCATGAATGGATGACTTATCCATTTTGGCATCATTCAAAGCTTTTTCGACTGGGACCAATGTCGATCGGAACAAATCCATATTCAACTCCTCAAAACGAGCCCTGGTGATTTTCGAATAGAAATCAATACCCTCATGAAGAGCATCAATTTCCAAAGAGGCCTCCGAGCTGGAAGACAAAGTACGCTTGGCCCTTTCACAGGCAGTGCGCAAACGTCTCAGGGCCCTGACATTGCTGGACAAGTCACGCTTGTGTTTACGCTTAAATTCCTCAACAAAGAAGTTGACCAAACGATTATCGAAATCTTCACCACCCAAATGCGTATCACCGGCAGTGGATTTAACTTCGAACAGAGAACCCTCATCAATGGTCAAAATGGAAACATCAAAAGTGCCACCACCCAAATCGAAAATCAAAACATTTTTCTCGCCTTTCAGGTTTTTGTCCAAGCCATAGGCCAGGGCAGCGGCGGTTGGTTCGTTAATGATACGCAAAACATTGAGACCAGCAATGGAACCAGCATCCTTGGTGGCTTGACGTTGTGAATCATTGAAATAGGCTGGTACAGTGATGACGGCATCGCTAACCTTGCCACCCAAATACACTTCGGCAATTTCCTTCATTTTTGACAACACCATGGAACTGATCTCTTCGGGAGCAAAACGTTTACGCTCACCCTTGAATTCAACTTCGATTTTTGGTTTGCCACAATCATTGATCACCTGGAAGGGCCAATGTTTCATATCCTCCTGAATTTTGGCATCATCAAATTTGCGACCAATCAAACGTTTCGCATCGAAGACGGTGTTTCTGGCATTCATTGCCACCTGGAAGAGAAAGAAGAGGGAGAGAAAATAGAGAATTTAATAAATGAGCGGAACAAAATCAAAAAAATAAATAATATTTTTTCAGGGACTATATGAGCCGTGGATTTTTTAAATAATATTTTTAGGGACTATATGAGCCGTGGATTTTTTAAATAATATTTTTAGGGACTATATGAGCCGTGGATTTTTTAAATAATATTTTTAGGGACTATATGAGGTGTGGGAGTGACGTAGGGGATGATAGATACCAAACAACGGCTCTATCGTGGTCCCTCTTTCATCTCAATTGTGGACACTGACCTCCCCGCGGTGTCACCTGGGATAGCTATTTTCATCACCCGTTGAAATAGTGAGCTGATATGAGCCGCGAGTTCACCCATAAGAACTATAAAAAATGGGTTGACGCGTCGGGTTAGTTGCTCACACACGGAAACACCATCTTACTATGAAAAAAGCAACGAAAAAGAAAACCAAACCCCCCAATGTTGACGACCCCCGCAAACGTATAAAGGACCACGATCTGCAAATCTGCACTTGGAATGTGCGCACGTTGTACAGAACAGGTGCATTTTTCGCCTTGGCGGATGTACTTAAGAAGTACAAAGCCGATATTATTGCCTTACAGGAAATGCGAAGGAAAGGGACTGGCGTAAATAAATCAGATGATTACGCCCTGTATTATAGCTGCCATGAAACGAAACATGAATTTGGCTGCGGATTTATGGTTAACAGGAGAATAAAAGACCTCGTCTCCAGATTCAATCCAGTAGATGATCGAATTTCTATAATCCGTATAAAAGCGAAGTTCTTCTACATCAGTTTCATTTGCGCCCATGCTCCGACCGAAGATAAAGATGAACAAACCAAAGACATATTTTACGAGCGCTTAGAAACAGCATATGATCGTTGCCCTGGCCATGACATTAAAATTCTGCTAGGAGATTTTAATGCAAAAATCGGAAGGGAACATATTTTTGGTCCCACCGTCGGAAAATTCTGTGTCCATGAAGAAACATCCGAAAACGGCATCTGGCAGCAAAACATGGTAGCAGCACCAGATTCAAGCATCTCGATATAAACAAGGTCACCAGGATTTTTGCTGATCAAGCAACAAGAAATCAAATTGACCATGTTGTGATAGACGGAAGGCATTCGTTCAGTGTTTTAGACGAGGAGTGAATATCGATTCGGACCATTATCTTGTGGCAGCCAAGGTTCGCACAACCTTGCACCAAATTATCGGGAGAAAAGGAGAGAGGAGAAACATATTTTCAGAAAAAAGAACAATAAAAACGTGAGCGTGACAAAATCGAGATGTACAGGAGCCAGAATGAAGTCCGAAAATTTTACCAACGACTAAAACACAAAACCGAAGGCTTTGGTGCAGACACATCCTCCTGTAGAGACGAAGAAGTTAACCTGGTGACAGATACATACAGCATGCTGGGGATCTGGAAGTAGCATTTTGAAAAACTTCTGGTATCAAATAGTTGCGGTGAAGAGGATACTACAGAACAAATAATAGATGACGGTATGGAGTGTATACCACCTGGCCAAGATGAGGTCAGGATAGCAAAAAATCGGCTGAAGAATAATAAAGCAGCAGGTGCCGATGGATTACAAGCTGAACTATTCAAGACTGGTGGTCAGATGCTGCTAAGGAGCATGCACCAGCTGATTAGTACAATTTGGCTAGAGGAATGCATGCCCATTGATTGGAACCTCAGCATCCTGTGTCCCGTGCACAAAAAAGGAGACAAGCTGATATGTGCTAAATATGGAGAAATAAGTCTCCTTCCCATCGCATATAAAGCGCTATCCAGCGTGCTGTGTGAACGACTGAAGCCAATGGACAATGACATTATTGTGAACGACTGAAGCCAATGGACAATGACATTATTGGACCATACCAATGCGGCTTCAGACCTGGCAAGATTTTCACTCTGCGCCAAATCCTGGAAAAACCCCACGAAAAACACATTGACACATAGGGGAGACTGGGGCACCTTCGGCATCGGGGCACCTTCGGCAATCGCATTTTCGATATGAAGCTCTCACCGTACATCACTAGTTTCGATACATAGGTATCGAATATCGAAATAAATAACTTACACAAAGTTTGAAATTTCTAGCTAATAAGCTTATTTATTTACATAGGTTTTTGTATTTTTATAGATGTTTCTGTAATATTTCAATTCCATTTCGTAAGTATTTCGTGTATAAAACTTTTTAAATTTTTAGGACAATATTATTAAAAAGTGGTTAACTACGATGTGTATTATTATAGAAATATTTAAAAATATAATATTTTTACAAAACTGATCGAAAAAAATGAAAAAACTATAAAAAGTACATTCGGGGCACATTCGGCATTTTAAATTGGGGCACATTCGGCCATATACAGGTTGTGCAATATTATTTCCTTAAAATGTTTTTGAGTTTGTCTTTAAAACTAATCCTTTAATATGGCTCGAAATTGCATATAAAAGATCAAACGTGCTTATATTGACGAAAATGCGATAGAAAACCCCTATTTCTGATGGTGTGTGCGACCTTGAGATTTAAACGTCCGCCCCTAGAAAATAAAGCCCTATAATTCAAACATTGTGTGGCGTATTAAAACCAAATAGAGCCTTTAGATAATCAGAATTTCAACCAGACTGATAGCGATGACAATTACCCGGCTATGACTATGGTGCCGAATGTGCCCCATCAAATGCCGAAGCTACCCCGGGTTGGGGCACATTCGGCGAATTTGACTTTTTTTACAAAACTGTAAAATTTTTTAACTAATACTATTTGTATATATCTTTTTGGTACTATTTTTCATAATTAAGTGTCAGAGGACAATAATCAGCCATATAGTTGTTATATATGTTGAATATGTACTGAGATATAGAGCTCTAAAAAAAAGTGCCGAAGGTGCCCCAGTCTCCCCTACCACCTATTCGTCGACTATAAAGCCGCATTCGACAGCCCAATCCGTTCAGAAGTGTTTAAAGCCGTGGTGGAGTGTCATTTCTGTTCACTTTTGCCTCTCGTATGACCTTTTCCAGCAGGATGTTAAAAAGATCACACGACAAACTGTTACCTTGTCTGAATCCTCGTTAGGGATTAAAGGGCTCCGAGAGGTCCTTTCCGACTTTAACTGCTGATCTTGTGCCAGTTAAAGTTATCCTGCATAGCCGAATTAATTTTGCAGGAATGCCAATTCCAGGGCCAATTCAAGGGTTAAAATAAGACGTGGATTTGTTAAAGAATATTTTGTTCATGTCTATTGGTCTGATGGTCATTTTGAATATATTATTAAAAATTGATTTTTCCGAAATGGAGATACGCAAACATATGTTTTTCATATATATGGCAAATATTTCCCTGAAGGTCATATAGCAAATTAATTTCCTCTCCATCCGAAAATCTGCAATCGCCGCAATATAAGTGAGTATGTGTGTGTGGCACGCTTATAGACAAATGTTTGCCAAAAAATTAATCAAAGATAAACAATTTAGATTTCCGTTGAAAATAAAAAAATAATAAAATATTGAAAGAATGCAGAACGAGAAATTTCCACCGGGCAATCATTTCTAACACCGAAACATTCTTTCGCACCATAGGTATGTATGAATGTATGTTTTCAAAACACAGAAGTCTGCGGAATGTTTCCCACATTAAAGAGATGACGCCACTCTACATCTTAACACCCACTATCCGACACAACACATCATTTTAGTGAAATAGAGTCGTCATAATTATTTAAACAATAATGATTTAATTATAAAAAAATATTGAAAAATAAATAGTTCTTGAAAAAAATAATATTTAAAAAATCCACGCCTTATGGGCTCTTGAAAAAATAATATTTAAAATATCCACGTCCTTTGGAAAAATTTAAAGGTCCTTGAAAAACATTTTGATTTCAGGCTAACATGCTTCCGTTTTTGGCTATCTAATTCAATTACCATCAAATATATTCCAAACATCATTATAATTTATATATCTATTGTTTGTTTGTCATTATCAATCAAGTCAACATCTCCGATTCTATTCAACTAAATCAACATGAACAACAATTGTTGTTGTTGCTTGTATCATTTATAGTATTAAAGCAAAATCTTGTCATTCGTATGACCATACAAGTCGGTTGGAGTATGTTAGCAAGCGGCGGTAGGCGGCTAACTGCCGCCAAAAATCCACAATGCAACAACATCGCTGACAAGAGGTCAAGTTAATCTTGCATTACAAACTTCACATCTCAAACATTGCAACCAAAAAATTAGCTATCAGCAACAACAAAACATTTCGACAACTCACAAAAATTATCAATAAATCAAATATTTGTAGTGTGAACAATAATTTTAAAATGATCTGATGTTGAGACGGACTGTCATCATTCATGTTGTAACAACATCGACGACGCGTTTGGTCTATATTTATTGGCAACAAATGACCTGTGTGTCTGTCTAGTGGTGGTGGTGACACAAAGATGAATGAATTGAAATTACCATTAAAATTTGGTAATTTGAAATTTTGATTCGAAAATGTACAAATTTTTGCAATGTTTTAATTTTTTGCTGCAGAAAACTCATGAATGGAATGGAAAATTGTTATTTCCAAAATTTAATTTAAAATAGATTTTCAAAAAAAAATGTGAAAAAATGACGTCTGCATTTTCTCACTGAATTGTTGTGTTTTTTTGTGCTACTTGATTTTATTATGGTGGATGCGTAGAATTCCAAAAACATGCAACGCCGAATTGTTGGAATAAACGTGATCCGCAATTTAAACAGTTATTAGGGTGTACTGATAATAAATTAAAAAAAATCGTCCTGAAAAAAAATATTTGTAAAAAATCCACACCTTTTGGGAATTTTGAAAAAATATTTTTAAAAAATTGACGACGTTTGGGAAAATATTATTTAAGAAATCCACGCCTAATGGCTGGTCTGAAAAAATATTATTTAAGAAATCCACGCCTAAGGCGGGTCTGAAAAAATATTATTTAAGAAATCGACGCCTATGGCTGGTCTGAAAAAATCCACTCTCATTTTATATTTAAACCAGTAAGGAAAGTAGTAAATTCGGACGGGGCCGACAATATGATACCCTTCACCACTTTGGGTATATTCAACAGATGAATCCTAACAGACGTCGCATTTTTAAAGGACCAGTAAAATGAAATTGGATCCATAAACATTTCATTATGCAACCAATATTAAATTTTTCATATGGTCAGATATAGAATCTATATCTTAATCTGAACCGATTTTCAAATTTCATGTCAAATTTCGTGCATATCGAAAGATATATAGGGACTTTGGTGGGCCATTTACATAAAATCGGTCAAAAATATATATGGAAGCTATATCTAAATCTGAACCGATTTTCAGGAAACTTAACACACATCATTCTAGGTCTAATTCATTACGCTGTGCCAAATTTCGTGCAAATCGAAAGATATTAAGGGACTTTGGTGCACCATTTACCTAAAATCGGGCGAATATATATATGGGATATCTAAATCTGAACCGAATTTTCCGAATTTTCCCAATTTCAATAGGGTTTGTCATTGGGCCAATCAAATGAGCTCTACCAAATTTCATCCAAATCGGATTATAAATGCGACCTGTACTTTGTTTACAATTTAACACTTACAGACTGACAGACGGATGTACGGACGGACGGCGGATTATTAAATAAAAAACAAACTAAAACAACATGTCAACCACTGCTGAACTCGCTTGCGTCTATGCTTCCCTCATCTTGGTCGATGATGATGTTGCCATCACTGGTGAAAAAATCTCGACTGTCTTGAAGGCCGCCAAAGTTGATGTTGAACCTTACTGGCCCGGTTTGTTCGCAAAGGCTTTGTAATATGTCAATGTTAAGGATTTGATCACCGCCATCGGATCCGGTGCTGGCACTGCCCCAGCTGCTGCTGCTCCCGCCGCCGGCGTGCTGCCCCAGCTGCTGCTGAAGCCAAGAAGGAAGAGAAGAAGAAGGAAGAAGAACCCGAAGAGTCCGATGACGATTAAACTGGACGACACAATGGTTTGTTTTGTTTTTACCACCATCAACAAAAACAACAACAAGAAAGTGATTCTATGTATATTCTCAAAAGGAACCATGTGTCTATCTCATTTCCTTTTGCCTGTTACAAACATATGCACAAAGACATAATCCCCTGTACCACAGTGTGGTGAAGGGTATAAAAATCCACGCCTATATCAGGTCTGAAAAAATAATAGTAAAAAATCCAGGTCTTCCGTAGTCATTGAAAATATATTTTTAAAAATCGACGCCTTTGTTGGTCCTTGGAAAAATTATTCTTTAAAAATCCACGCCCTTGTTGGTCCATAAAAAATATTTTTAAAAATCCACGCCTTTGTTGGTCATTAAAACAATATTTTTAAAAAATCCAAGAATTTGGAAATCTATGAAAATTTAAAAAAATCCAAGCCTTTGGGAATCATAGCATGCATCCTCCAACCACCTCCTACTGTTTGCTGAATTGTTGCCAAATGTCACATAAATGTCATTGTCATCCATATGCCAACAATGAATTCATTTGGGAAATGGTGTTCGCTTCGCTGTGTTATCTTTAAACATATTTGATTTTGAAAATCTAACGAATCAATAATGAAACATGACACAATTGCCTTATTATAACAATTTAATGATCTCACACAAAAAATCCGTAGATCACCCATTGCTTCGCATGAATATCCCGCTGTTCAACAATTGATATTGATTTTTATGTTAAAACCAAAATTGGTATTATTAAATTGAAATTGATCTAGATTAAGTTACAACATATTTTTTTGCACAAGGTGTGAAACGGATTAGGAAGAAGGAGGGAAAATGTTGGCGAAAAAATATTAAAGCACATTCCTGGTTTATTTCCAGACCTCAGCAATTTTGTCAATAATCCCGAATCGTTGCCTCTGTTATCCTTCAAGGAAGTCCATATGTCCTTTGTCTGTCTCCAATTTCCCAAAAATAAAACCTTTGGCTTACCTGATTTTTGGCAGCATCACCAATCAAACGTTCCGTATCGTTGAAGGCCACATAACTGGGCGTTGTACGATTACCCTGATCATTAGCAATGATCTCAACTTTGTTATGCTGCCAGACACCGACACAGGAGTAGGTGGTGCCCAAATCGATACCAATTGCAGGAGCCTTCACCATTGTTCTGTTTGTTTTTTTTTTTCAAATTCCTTATATATTATTTTTATTTATGTCAAATATGGATCTGTTGCACACTGCACTCACGTTCCGATTGTTCGCGTTTTCAAAATTTTTGCAAACCGGCGAAATGTTTCCCAAACGACGTTCTAAGTTAAACTAAACGTTTCTCCAAATGATTCATAAGATTTTATGCGATTTTTTTTCGCTCGATACACTTGCAACGAATGATGCCCCCCAACAAATTGTGTGGATGTTTGTAATTCGTTTGGTGTTCGGCTTTTCGTCAGTGAGAATTTTTGTTTTGAGATTTTGGAAAATTTGAAATACTTTTTTTTGTTTCCTTTGTTTGGGTGAATTGGCAGCTATGAGGAAAAATCATATGTTTGATTGCAAGGTATGTATGTGTGTATGTAGTCATGCCATGGTTTGTTTGACGATCTGCACAAATAAAAAATTGTTGTTTTCCGATTTTATTTTGATTTCATTTATTTGGCAGTTGTTTGAAATTAATTACTCGGTTATTAGTGATGTTCTCAATTATCTGTATTTATATACATAGAATTAAAAACCGGTTACTTAAAAATCCACGAATTTTGTTGATCCTTGAAAAAATATGTTTTAAAAAATCAACGCCTGTATTGGTCCTTGAAAAAATATTTTCATCACTACTTAGGGTATATTGTACATATGTATCCTTAATGTTCTTTCGAAGGACCATACTTATGTGTTTCTCCAACCTGTATTTAGCACAGGTGACTATATAGGGACTTTGGTGCACCATTCACCTTAAATCGGACTAAAATATATATGGGAGCTATATCTAAATCTGAACCGATTTTCAGAAAACTTAACACACACCATTCTAGACCTAAATCATTAGGCTGTGCCAAATTTCGTGCGCATCGAAAGATATATAAGGAATTTGGTGCACCATTTCCATTAAATCGGACGAAAATATATATGTGAGCTATATCTAAATCTGAACCGATACCCACGAATCATAGCACAAATCATTCTAGACTCAATTCAGTACACTATGCCAAATTTCGTGCAAATCGAAAGATATATAGAGACATTGGTGCACTAGATACATAAAATCGGACGCAAATATATAGGGGCCCTATATCAAAAACTGAACCGATTTTCACGAAACTTAGCACACATCATTATAACCTCAATAAAGTGTGCTGCGCCAAATTTCGTGCACCATTTACCTTAAGGATATATATGGACTATATGGTTTTCAGCACTATTTCACATAAAATCTGTGCAAAATTTCGCAAATATATATTTGGTGACCATATATCAAAATATATAAAGGCTGTATCTAAATCCGATTTTCACGAAACTTAACACACATCATTCTAGACTTAATTCAGTTCTCTATGCCAAATTTCGTGCAAATCGAAAGATAGATAGGGACTTTGGTACACCATTTACCTTAAATCGGACGAAAATATATATGGGAGCTATATCTAAATCTTTACCGATTTCAACAAAACTTCACAGCCATGAATCTGGACCTAATTCAGTACTTGGTGCAAAATTTTGTCTTAATCGGACAAATATTGGGAGTTTGGTGCATCATTCACATAAAATCGGATGAAACTATATATGGGAGCTGTATCTAAATCTGAACCGATTCCAACAAAACTTCGAATGCATTAGTATAGACCTGATTCATTGCGCTGTGCAAAATGTTGTCCCAATCGGACAAATATTGGGAGTTTGGTGCACCATTTACATAAAATCGGCCGAACCTATATATGGGAGCTATATCTTAATCTGAACCGATGTTTCCCAATTTCAATAGGGTTCGTCCTTGGGCCTAGTAAATGAGATGTGCAAAATTTCATCCAATTCAAATCAAAAATGCGACCTGTACTTTGTTTACAATTTAACATGGAAAGACAGACGGACGGACAAGCATAAATCGACTTAGAAAGTGATTCTATGCATATTCTCAAAAGGAACCATAGGTCTATCTCCATTCCTTTTGCCTGTTATAAACATATGCACAAAGACATAATACCCTGTACCACAGTGTATTGAAGGGTATAAAAATCCACGCCTTGTGTGTCTTTACAAAATATTTTCAAATTTGTTGGTCCTTGAAAAGTCCACGCCTTTATAGGTTCTTAAAAAATATTATTTATATAATCCAAATTCCAAATATACTAAACCGAATATTCGGATTTTGTTTTATCAAACCTAAGTACTATGTTCTATATTTTTTTTTTTTTTTGCAAAATGAAAATTTTCTAGAATATTGGCATTTTTCTCATCACACGATGTCACACTCTCTCATCTCAAAACAAAATTTTAAATGTTTCTGTGTTATTGTTGTTGTCACTGTTTAATTTATTATATTTGAAATCATATCAACCAGCGAATTTTTTTATTTTGATTTTAAAAATAGCACAATTTTTGGCGTTGTGAATAAAAATAGTATTTTCGACAAATAAAAAAAATCCAATGCAACCACTAGGAGTGGGTGGACTGTGGCGTATACAGTATGTGATGACTGTTCGGGGGGTATCTTCTAGATTAGTATCTAGTCTGATTCTTCTGTTTGTACCTAACAAATTTCATTCATTCGTAAAATTCATCAGACATCTGATTAGCGTTTGCCCTTTTTCTTTTTCTTCTGACCGTCTGGCCAAGCAAATCCACGAGACTTTAATACATCCTACACAAAAAGAAATAAAAACACAAAAATAGTTTTATTAATCATCATCGCCATGTTTTTAATATAAACAAATATTGTTGCTGTTGTTGCCATCCCAACAACCACTTATCGCCTCACCTGTACATTATGACACACATAGTAGGCATTGTCCATGGCTGCATCATTAAAAATATCACAACCAATCGATTTGCTACCGGAACTTTTCTTTTTTCCCTCCTTCTTTTTCTTGTCACCAACCTCGCCGTCACCACTTCCAGCATTGCTGGATGTTGAGTCTTTACTTCCTCGCTTTTTGCGTCCTTTTGAGGCCATGTCTGAAATACTACTGAGTTATGGATTTCAGGAGTTGTTTACTTTGTTGCCCTTAACAAATCTCCATGGAAACAGTGATGTAGATTTTTTAAAGAATAATTTGTCAAGTATTAACAAAGGCGTAGATTTTTTAAATAATATTTTTTCAAGGTGTTCTAAAGGATATTTTATTTACAACTGACTTAATATTTTCAAAAAATTCTTATTTCTTAAAAATGTTGAAAATCTTCTGGCCAAACTATCGATGCTATCCAATCGATATACGACGAAACTCGTGTGTAAACTCCAGGTGAACCACTTCCACACACCTCGCCATATGAGATGATGCCAACTAAATAGAAACGGAAACCAGGGCGATTACTGCGACGTCTGAGATTCAGTTGAAGAGGTCCACCAGAGTCACCCTGAGAGAAGGAAGCAAAACAAATTAAAAATTCTTTAGTAAAGTATCTCCTGACTTACCTGACATGTATCACGATTGTGTACATAATCTTTGGCACATATCTGTGTCTCAACAATACCCTCCGGCGAACTTTCATCTACGGGCAATGCCTGATTACATTCCTGCAGCCTTACTAAGGTCAAATCAAGTTCTGTGAGGATATTTGTGGGGGCTTTGGCAAAACTTGTCGAACCATAACCCATTGTGAAGACGTGGGGGTATGGGATGTGATCCAGGGCCCACAGTCGTATTGGCCGGACAAATCTGGTGAAGCTAAAGGTGACATAAAGGAAACCAATTGCAATTTTAGTAGGACAACTTCTTTGAAAGAAATGGAGTTTTGAAACATACACAATGGGTTCCTGTAATCTCAGCAGGGCAATGTCATGATAATGTAATGAGGAGTTATATAAGGGATGCAATATCACCTCCGATATAATACGAGTCTGTGGAATTTCAGAGTCATCATTTTCCTCCTTCAAATTTATAATACCAAACTTGACCAGAACAGGGGTGTCACTGAAAGTAGAAGAAAAAAAAGCATTACCGTGGATTTTTTTAAAGACTAGTTTTTCAAGGCTATCCAGAGGCGTGGATTTCTTAAAGACTAGTTTTTCAAGGCTATCCAGAGGCGTGGATTTCTTAAAGACTAGTTTTTCAAGGCTATCCAGAGGCGTGGATTTCTTAAAGACTAGTTTTTCAAGGCTATCCAGAGGCGTGGATTTCTTAAGGACTAGTTTTTCAAGGCTATCCAGAGGCGTGGATTTCTTAAAGACTAGTTTTTCAAGGCTATCCAGAGGCGTGGATTTCTTAAAGACTAGTTTTTCAAGGCTATCCAGAGGCGTGGATTTCTTAAAGACTAGTTTTTCAAGGCTATCCAGAGGCGTGGATTTCTTAAAGACTAGTTTTTCAAGGCAATCCAGAGGCGTGGATTTCTTAAAGACTAGTTTTTCAAGGCTATCCAGAGGCGTGGATTTCTTAAAGACTAGTTTTTCAAGGCTTTCCAGAGGCGTGGATTTCTTAAAGACTAGTTTTTCAAGACTAATCAGAGGCGTGGATTTCTTAAAGACTAGTTTTTCAAGGCTTTCCAGAGGCGTGGATTTCTTAAAGACTAGTTTTTCAAGACTAATCAGAGGCGTGGATTTCTTAAAGACTAGTTTTTCAAGGCTTATCAGAGGCGTGAATTTCTTAAAGACTAGTTTTTCAAGGCTAATCAGAGGCGTGGATTTCTTAAAGACTAGTTTTTCAAGGCTAATCAGAGGCGTGGATTTCTTAAAGACTAGTTTTTCAAGGCTATCCAGAGGCGTGGATTTCTTAAAGACTAGTTTTTCAAGGCTATCCAGAGGCGTGGATTTCTTAAAGACTAGTTTTTCAAGGCTAATCAGAGGCGTGGATTTCTTAAAGACTAGTTTTTCAAGGCTAATCAGAGGCGTGGATTTCTTAAAGACTAGTTTTTCAAGGCTAATCAGAGGCGTGGATTTCTTAAAGACTAGTTTTTCAAGACTAATCAGAGGCGTGGATTTCTTAAAGACTAGTTTTTCAAGGCTAATCAGAGGCGTGGATTTCTTAAAGGTTAGTTTTTCAAGGCTAATCAGAGGCGTGGATTTCTTAAAGACTAGTTTTTCAAGGCTAATCAGAGGCGTGGATTTCTTAAAGACTAGTTTTTCAAGGCTAATCAGAGGCGTGGATTTCTTAAAGACTAGTTTTTCAAGGCTAATCAGAGGCGTGGATTTCTTAAAGACTAGTTTTTCAAGGCTAATCAGAGGCGTGGATTTCTTAAAGACTAGTTTTTCAAGGCTAATCAGAGGCGTGGATTTCTTAAAGACTAGTTTTTCAAGGCTAATCAGAGGCGTGGATTTCTTAAAGACTAGTTTTTCAAGGCTAATCAGAGGCGTGGATTTCTTAAAGACTAGTTTTTCAAGGCTAATCAGAGGCGTGGATTTCTTAAAGACTAGTTTTTCAAGGCTAATCAGAGGCGTGGATTTCTTAAAGACTAGTTTTTCAAGGCTAATCAGAGGCGTGGATTTCTTAAAGACTAGTTTTTCAAGGCTAATCAGAGGCGTGGATTTCTTAAAGACTAGTTTTTCAAGGCTAATCAGAGGCGTGGATTTCTTAAAGACTAGTTTTTCAAGGCTAATCAGAGGCGTGGATTTCTTAAAGACTAGTTTTTCAAGGCTAATCAGAGGCGTGGATTTCTTAAAGACTAGTTTTTCAAGGCTAATCAGAGGCGTGGATTTCTTAAAGACTAGTTTTTCAAGGCTAATCAGAGGCGTGGATTTCTTAAAGACTAGTTTTTCAAGGCTAATCAGAGGCGTGGATTTCTTAAAGACTAGTTTTTCAAGGCTAATCAGAGGCGTGGATTTCTTAAAGACTAGTTTTTCAAGGCTAATCAGAGGCGTGGATTTCTTAAAGACTAGTTTTTCAAGGCTAATCAGAGGCGTGGATTTCTTAAAGACTAGTTTTTCAAGGCTAATCAGAGGCGTGGATTTCTTAAAGACTAGTTTTTCAAGGCTAATCAGAGGCGTGGATTTCTTAAAGACTAGTTTTTCAAGGCTAATCAGAGGCGTGGATTTCTTAAAGACTAGTTTTTCAAGGCTAATCAGAGGCGTGGATTTCTTAAAGACTAGTTTTTCAAGGCTAATCAGAGGCGTGGATTTCTTAAAGACTAGTTTTTCAAGGCTAATCAGAGGCGTGGATTTCTTAAAGACTAGTTTTTCAAGGCTAATCAGAGGCGTGGATTTCTTAAAGACTAGTTTTTCAAGGCTAATCAGAGGCGTGGATTTCTTAAAGACTAGTTTTTCAAGGCTAATCAGAGGCGTGGATTTCTTAAAGACTAGTTTTTCAAGGCTAATCAGAGGCGTGGATTTCTTAAAGACTAGTTTTTCAAGGCTATCCTGAGACTGGTATTTTTCAACTCGATCTATAGGAGTGGATTTTTTAAAGACCATTTATTAAACCCCCATTTTTCCACAGTGTAATCAGTGATTGGGTAAGTCATACTGCATTTAATGCGTCCGCAGTTAGTATAAAATTTTGGTTTTGTAATTTTCAAGAAGTCTTCATTTGACTTACCCATTCACTTGACAACAATGTGCTGCGGTTATAACATAGAACGGACTAATCAGACTTCCTCCACATTTGTATTCGATGCGATGTTCAGTTGTTAAATATCCTAAGGCGGCCTGAAAATAAAGCGTAGAACCATTTTTTGTTTCAGTACGAAAGGATTTCAATAGATAGGCGAATTTTGTAATATCGATATAGAATATTACTCCGATCTGGTTTTGAAATACGTTGTGGAGAGTATAAAAAAGCAAAGATCCGCATTTTGTTTTTTGTTCGAAAAGGAAATCTCTCCTTTATTTGAAGTTAACCCTTTGTGGCCCAATGTTGCCCACAGGCAACAAAATGTTTTAGAGCTTATATTTCATATGTAGCTAGTAGATATATATTCTTTGTATTTCATACGTGACCTGATTATCGACGACACATATCAAAAGAAAAATAAAAAAAATTCAAATTTTTGGTAAAGTTATGACCTTTTCAATGTACAAAAATGTGTACAGTACTAATTTGTGTATACAGTCCAAATTATTTAAATCGCTATTCGAAAAAAAATTCTGTCATCAGATTTTTTTTGATTCCGCATTTTTCATTTGGTTTTTTGATATTGGGCTTTCATTTTTCAGAAAGAATGGAAATCTCTCCAAATTTTGTCCATTTGAAGTTAATATAGTAGTATTATGGATAATACCGGGCGGACCTTCCGTATATGAAGCAATCCCAAACTCACCATATGCGGATATTGACCATGTACCACCAAAGAACGACCATCAAAATCATCATTGGTAGCTTTGAACTCATCCGCCTCATTACCATTACCGGCATAACTTTTTTCCAATGTCCTATAAATATCGAAGAAATTCCGTTGACGTTGTGGTCGAGGTTTCTGGGGACGAGCAAATTCTAACGAACGCAACGAATCATAAATGGGAAGATGGAAATTTTGAAAGAATTGTTGTTGTAACTCTTCGAACTCGGACCAGCCTTTATTCCATTCATAATGTAGAGAATTTAATAGATCCGTAGGATCTGGCAGTGCTTGACGAGGTTGCGGATTATTAATACCAGAAAATGGTACATTGGAATTAAGGAAATTTGTTAAACGTCGTAGTAGACGTCGTTGAGTCAGCGTCGAGTGAAACATTAAAGTGGACAAAAATAAAATCACCAACACATTTAATTTCATTTTGTTTTGGATTTCAATTTCTTATTTCAGAGAATAAAACCCGCTCGCGTCAAGTACTCTGTTAGAATATCAAATTCGGACTACTGTTTTTAGCTTGAGGAATATTTTAAAATGTTTAATAATAGTTACTTAGAGGAGAATTCTTGTTTTTTCTCTTTTTTTGCTAAATATTTTTTTTACTAAAATTAACATTAATTATTTTATTTTGTGGTTATTAGCCATAGCTGAGACATGAAATAATTAATTATGTGTTCTGAGCACACGCCGGACTTTAAATTATTGAATGTACCACCGAATTAAAACTTAATGTGAATTTTAATTACGAATTTCAAAGAAATATCCACGAGTAAAAACAACAAAACCCCTTATAATGTAAAAATATATATGAACAACAGGTTACTTCCCACAGGTTTTCTATCCATTTACGATTTTTTCTTAAATATTTTTTAACGGATTTTTATTCCCTACATAAATATTTTGTAAGGGTATTATAACTTTGTGCAGGCCCAAGAGTTTCTAATCTCGCGAAATGTTGGTCCTAGACCTATTTTTAGTATAATGAACATATCTCGACTAGATGAGTCGATCAATCATAATTCTGTCTGTCCATCATAATTTGTAAACACGATACAGGCCGCAGTTATTGACCAATCGTCAGGGAATTTGCATTTAGGACGGTTCCGGGTTCCCTGTTGTTTTTGGAAATTATCGATTAATATTTAGGTGATGAAATGGACCAAAAACTTTACTTTTGTCTGTTTTTCTGGTCTATTTTGATGGAGATCGGTCAATATTTGTGTGTGAAAAATAAAAAACGATGTATTTTATGGCGTATATATTTATTCCTTAAGGACATGGACCCCAGAAGTTCGCATTATATCCACGAGAAGTTGTTGACCTTCTATTAATGTATGTACTCCGATGTGGGAGCTGGTGGCTTGGAAATTTTGCATGGGGTTCCGATAATGATCAAGGACGAATTATGATGATGGTCTAATGACACTTCGAACATTCCATTTTTGTCTCGTTTTTTTTTGTCACTCTAGACGCCACAATTATAAACCGAACGTCACAAATTTTCCATGGGGAAGGGAATCTGCAAACTATTTAGAAGGTCTGTTTTGATAATGATCGGTTAATATTCATCGGGTCAAATGAACCAAGACTACTCTTTGTAAAATAAAAAAATGCATGTTAATTTTCATGTGTTCACCCCGTAAAAAGAAAATTCCGAAAATATGTTAGAAATAGGAACTGTTGACATCTAATCGGTCAAGAAAGTGCAATAGTTAGAGTAAAATTTCTTTCGATTTTCTTTCTATGTGCACGAAATTTGTCATAGCGCACTGAATTGAGTTTAGAATTATGTATGCTAAGTTTCATGAAAATTGGTTCAGATTTAGATATAGCTCCCATATATATTTTCGTCCGATTTTATGTAAATAGTGTACCAAAGTCCCAATATTTGTTTTAATGTGCACGAAATTTGGCATAGCGTGCCGAAATGAGTCTAGAATGATGTCTGTTAAGTTTTTTTGAAATCGTTTGAGATTTAGATATAGTTCCCATATGGGAAATTACAAAAATCTTTTAAATTCCTTGAAACTGAGGTTTGCAAGGTTATAACTCGCGAAATATGAACATATTGCATATAATTTGAATTCAATTCTATAAAATGAAGTGTTCTTGTCAAAATCTTGAAATATTGGTAATAAATAATAAGTTGCGTGGAAGCTGTGATGGTGGTAATGTAAAAAAATGGGTGAAAATGTGTTGAAGCCAACGAGTTTTTTTGTGTCCGTTCCCGATTTGTGGCTAAACTACACAACGCACACACATGTGATCAGTGACTAAGTTGCAGAATACCCCATGGACAATATGGTTCTAATGTATGATTTTTCGATATAATCACTGCATCCACCCAAAATGGATGCTGACATTTTGAAGCCGGATTTTCGGTGTTTTTTGAATTTTTCTTATAATTAGGATGCGCATCCAGACAATAGAATAAACTAATTATAGGATCGTAGAACTCGTGATTCTGCTTCGTTTATTGTATATCTCATGAATGTGCTCACTGTAGCTTCTTTGCAATTGGGTTCCAAAGACGAAAATTTAGTGCGTAAATTTTTATAAAAAACATATTTTTTTAGTCTAAAATTAAGAAAGTCCATTCAAATTCCGTGGAACCCCGCGTGATTTTAGTTTTTTTACGTGCCGGATCTAATGAGCCCATCCATGTTCAATTCCGCCCATTAAAACGGCGGATATAGGTACCTTGAATGTGGGAAAAACTGCAAAAACTTATTTTGACAAATTCGCGTAAATAATCGCGGTTTTCTTCGAATTAATTTTACATGCATTTATGCTTGTATTGTCAAATTCGCGAATCTGCGTGGAAATAGGTCAAAAATACATCGATACGCGAATAATATGCGTATTTTATCCAAAATTGATTGTGGAGGCACATCCGCGGTTTTTAGGGTTTTTGCATAGTAAAGTGCATCGAGTGGCACACTTTGACCGCTAAATTAAACATTGAAAAATTAATAATTATTGAAAGACATTGATTCGGTTTATACGAAAATCGCATGCGCATCAACTGATTTCAATTAATTCGCGAATTGCAAGCTTTTCAATATTGATCATTTTTATGTATTGTAAATGCAATATATTTAGCCATTAATGACGTCGAAACTCTTATCAGATGAATCTGCCGATATTTAACAATCATCTAAAAGAATTTGCAGAAGAAAGCGTCGTATATTTTAGAAGATTAAGGCAAAACCGTATCCTCTTAACCATACTAAAAAAATCGAAAATTCAAAAAAAAAAAAAAAAAATAGTTTTAATTCAAAAATTAATTTATTTTATTTTCCGATATCTTCATGTTTCTATTTGTTTTTCGCGACTATTAAACCGTATTTCAGTGTGATTTGACTAGTATGCAAAGAAAACAATGGTGTTTAAGCATTTGTGAAGAAATTCGCGAATTACAACGAATAGGAATCCATTTAATATATATTTGAAATACAAGATTTAAAACCGCTATAACTTTTGTGCGCAGCATCCGAATTTGTGAACGCGAACAGATTTCGAATCAGCATATTTTTCTTAACCTATGTACCAAAAATCATAAATGTGCTCGCAAAAAAAATTTTCAAAATTTTTTTAATGGAATTTTAAAAGAATTTTGTAATTTCCCATATATATTTCCGTCCGATTGTAAGTAAATAGTACACCAAAGTCCCTTATGTCATACCATTTGCTCGAAATTTGGCATAGCGTACTGAATTGAGACTAGAATGATGTGTGCAAAGTTTCGTAAAAATCGGGTCAAATTTAGATATAGCTCCCATATATATATATTTCCGTCCGATTTTATGTTATTGGAGCACCAAAGCCTCTACATTTCTTTCGATTTGCACGAAATTTAGCATAGCTTACTGAATTAAGTGTAGAATTGCGTGTGTTAAGTTTCATGAAAATCTGTTCAGATTTAGATATAGCTCCTATATATATTTTCGTCCGATTTTATGTTGATGGAGCACTAAAGCTTCTACATTTCTTTCGATTTGCACGAAATTTAGCATAGCGTACTGAATTGAGTCTAGAATGATGTGTGATAAATTTCGCAAAAATCTATTCAAATTTACATATAGCTCCCATATATATTTTCATCCGATTTTATGTTGATGGAGCACCAAAGCCTCTACATTTCTTTCGATTTGCACAAAAATTGGCATAGCGTACTGAATTAAGTCTAACATGATGTGTGCTAGGTTTCGTGAAAACCGGTTCAGATTTAGATATAGCTCCCATATATATTTTTGTCCGATTTAATGTAAATAGTGTTTCAAACTGCTAATATTTGTCCGATTGACGCGAAATTTTGATGAGGTCTTACACACATTGAAAAAAAAATAATAGTCCAAAATCCCAATTTACAGCCACTTCGATAAAAACCACTTGAGGCCTTCTACACTTTGAAAATCCTTAAATGGTTAATTGCAACCCTTTCGTTAAAAAATCCGCATGTGTTTTTAAAAATGCCAAAAATGGGGATACGTCGGTCAATATCAAAACGTTGATCGATATATAATGTATGTACGACATTTTTTAACGCTCAGCCGTATGGCTCATCCAAATATTGATTTTAGACCCATGTTTCTGTGGAACAAATGGATTTATAATTATTCGTCCGCCATCGGGCTGACCATCAACCAAATTTTGTACATCGTAATATTTATTCTAAACTTAAATTAAGTTCAAAGATGAGAAATATCGGTCCACTCCTTCTAAATTTAATAACAAAAATCATCTAGACAGTAAAAATCATCCTAGACATCCGCTGAGAGTCGGCAACACCGACTGACACTTTTTTACTTGTTTTCGTATAAATGAGTTATATAAATTACTGATAATCTCCTTCAAGAGGTATATAGCAAACACCCTATGATATCCTTCTATCAATTGCTTAGAAAATTTTCCCCAAAATGAAAAAAATTCAAAATTCTCGCTGCGTGTGTTTGAAAAAATTTAGTAGTAGATATCTTACCCATTCAAATGACAACAGTGGGCCGCAGTGATGACAAAATTCGAACTAATCAAACTTCCGCCACATTTAAATTCGACCATTTTTTCAGTGGTTGGAAATCCTACTGCCGCCTGCAAGAGAAGAAAAGAAAAAAATATTAATTTAAAATAAGAAATAACTACATAAAAAGTGGTATTTAAAAAAAAATAATTTGATAATTTTGCGGTCAATTGATAATAATAATTCATACGATTGCAAATTATTTGTTTTTGGGGAATCACCTTACCTTTGTTAAAATATACCACATACAAAACTTGTTTTATTGGAGATTAACTCTTTTTTTGTTTTTTATTTTTGAGTGAACTATTTAAAATTTTATGGAAATGTTTAGAGTTCAAATTGATTTGCATATTGTGACGTT